AATATAAAAACGTCAAATGAATATCTTGAATATGTGTGTGTGTGTGTGTGTGTGTGTGTGTGTGTGTGTGTGTGTGTGTGTGTGTGTGTGTGTGTGTGTTAGGGTAAAACAAAGACATTTGTCATCACTGCTGGTGACACACTGACACATTCACATGGAGGCACGCAAGGAGACTAAGGGCGTGCGTGTGTGTGCGTGTGTGTGTTTGCGTGTGTGTGTGTGTATGTGTATGTGTATGTGTGTGTGTGTGTGTGTGTGTGTGTGTGTGTGTGTGTGTGTGTGTGTGTGTGTGTGTGTGTGTGTGTGTGTGTGTGTGTGTGTGTGTGTGTGTGTGTGTGAGTGCATCGTTTGCATAGGGAACAACAGCTGCTTTCTCTGACAAAGTGCTTGATGCTGGAGCCAAACACTGGACAATTCAAGGACAGAATAAAGGGGACCAGTTCGACCAATTTCACTTTATTAAACGTATCTAAGATTACATTTGTGAGTTATAAGCTCACATGTCATCATCATTATGTCACACGTTTGCGGTTCTTTTACTGCAAACATATGTTCCTTAAGTTTTCCCCAATGAAATGAAAAAATTATATTATAGTTGAAAGATTTGTCACTTATATTGTCATAGTAACAAATGATATACTGTAGAGTAGAACAGTTCTTAATTTTTCAACAGAAAGCTTTAGGTTTTCGTTTCTTACAATTATGAGTTATTGAATTTCTAAGTATTAACTATCTTGCTCTTATAACCTTTAAAAAAAGGCAAAGAAATCTTAGAATATTACAGGAACATTGTTGACGAAATTCATTATTATTATTATTATTATTATTATTATTATTATTATTATTATTATTATTATTATTATTATTATTATTATTATTGTTGTTGTTATTCTTACTATTTATATTATTATTTATTATTAACATTTTAACCTTTTTAAAATATATTCAAAATAAGTATTAATTTAAAATATATATTTGTCTTTCATTGCTATGTTTGATTTTATTTTCATCAATTATATTTTCTATACCTACCTGTTGTTTTTAGCTCCTCTGCATTGTATGGTACATATTTGTGCCTGACCTGAGGCCTGAGGCCTGTACTACGAAGCCGGTTCAACCTAACCTGGATATGTTTGAGTTACCCGGTTTACCTAATCCAAAACAAACGCCCTCTCGCTAAACTGTCCTACGACGCTGGTTATCAACTCGTTAACTCAAGCCAGTTTTGCCCTATCTAGTTAGGTGCGCGTTCACATGAAAGGGGTGGTATTTGGAGCATTCGACCAATCACAAACATGGACAAGCGTACTGGCAGCGCGTCATACTTCCTGAATAAAAAGTCAACTATAATATTAGACAAATATGAAGACGTTAAACTTTAAACATCCATGACTTAAACACTTTGTCCAGGATAAAAGCCACATAGCTGCACCTGCAAGTTGAATACAGCTGGTAAAAGAAAAAGCGTTTGAATGCGTACATTAACAGGTTTATGATATGATATCACTGCCCCGTTAAGACACGAGTGGATCTGACTTTAATTATATTTGACTCGAGTGTTTCATCAACTTAATGTGTTGCTTAAAATAATACTTCTGCATACAGTAGGCTATGTGACTCTGTAATGGCGCATTTCCACCGCAGTCCTCGCTCGACTTTTGTTAGGCCTTGTTAGGCCTTGTTAGGCCCGGCTCACTTTAATGCTGCGCTTCCATTACAGTTTAGGAACTGGGGTAGTTTCTATAGTAACGCAGTGTAGGCGGAGCCGTGACGCCATCTTCAATGAGCACCCCAGAAAAACAACACAGCCGTTAGCTGTTAGCACTCAAGCTCACAGCTCCTCATATCTGTTCAGAAACTAGACAAAAGTTAAACAAGTACAAACCACAGACTGCCTGTGTCATGGCGAATACAGTCGCTGGTTTATTTATGTCTGTATAGGCCGTTGTTGTGAGTGTGGACGGTCGGAGCATATATTGCGTTAGTTTAGCCAATCTCCATTCAGAAAACACGCATTTTAAAAGGTTTTTTGCCTGCCGTCTGTCTGCAGACTTGTCAAAGCATTAATTCATGGCTTTTACTAACCGGTATCAGTATGTTGTTACTTCGGCATCATTTTGAAACGTGTATTACAATTAAATCACGGTCAAATATGTTCATCTTGTTGTTGTTGTAGCCCTCCTGCCAGCGATTCTCTCTCTAGTTTAGCAAACTCAGCCCGACTCAGCCCTGTTTGTTGGCCCCGATAGAACCACGATTTTGTCGGGCCAGAAAAAAGGTGAAAAAGTAGCCCCGGGCCGGAACTAGGCATAGTGGAAACGCAACCAAAAACGGGCCCGGCACAGCACGGCACGCTTAAACCGCGCTACGCGCCATGGTGGAAATGCGCCATAAGTGTTGCACGGCCAGATACGGCTCAAGAAGCTGACTCAGATAAGGAAATATATGATACATTATGATGCGATATGATGTGATATGAATGATAATGGGGTGTTGCAACGGGACACATCGACGTCTGCACTCACATCGACGTCTGCACTCACAGTGTCGCGGACTATACGTAATGTTACTTTGATCCGGTTACTTATGTTGTGGCAGATATTTAAGTAAGCTTTCTTAACGCCATGTTATAATAGTCAGATTGCTCTGAAGATGGGAGGGGATATTCTATTAATGTTCACGTTCACACAGTCGGTCATTTTTGCCGGCCGTCTTTCGGCAGTCTAAACTGTATTTCCTTTCTCCTGTAATATGACTTGATCGCTTTAAACTCCGCACACGGAGCTCTGATTGGTCGGCAGGCGGTGCTTTCACTGAGTTGATCTCTTATCCTGGAACTTAACCTGCTCCGGACCAGGCTAGCCGTTCAGCATAAGTTACCATGGAGATCTAGCCCGCTAAGAGGTGAACCAGCGTCGTAGGACCGGAAACCCAGAGTTTTCCCTGAAGTTAGCTCGCTAAGCGAAAATCCGGTTCAACCTAACCTGGATATGTTTGAGTTAGCCGGTTGGCCTAATCCAAAACATACGCGCTCTCGCTAAACTGTCCTACGACGCGGGTTATCAAGTGGATCGCTCAAGCCAGCCGTGTCCTATCTAGTTAGGTGCGCGTTCACATAAAAGAGGTGGTATTTGGAGCGATTCGACCAATCGGAATCATGGAGAAACCTCGAGCGAATTATTTCACGGCCGAGGAGCAGACAATGATCATGAGCCGCTACGAAGATGTGAAGCACATCATAAAAGCCAAAAGCAGTACCCTTGTGGCTGCCAAACGTCGCCAACAATGTTGGCAGGAGATTGCAGACTCCGTGAATGCGTAAGTAAAATATGTATATATATATATATGCAACAGCGTGCAGAGCTGCACATCTTTAAAAAGTGTATTGGATGCACGGCAGTCATGTACAAAAATAAATCAGGCGCCTCCAGATTATTATTTTTTATTAAAATACCAAATTGATCATTGAGTGGCAGCCTTTTTTCCATTATAATATCATCGACCGAGGGTCACAAGTGGACTTTAAGCCTAATATTTTTGTAATCCTTTTAATTTATAGATTTTTTTTAAATTCAAGCTGTACATGACGTTTTTTTTTTCGTTTTTCAGATGTAACCCCGGCGGGTCTAAAAGGACTTGGGAGCAAATGCGAGTGAAACACAAAACCATCATTCAATCTGGTAAGTTTCCCTCTTTTGAGATCTTAAAAATAGAACTACACGTTTTGTATTGCTTCAATTAGTCTGTGTTTCTTAACTGTATAGGAAAGCGGTCACATTTTTTCACAATTCTTGCAGCCAACAGGAAAAGAAATTAGCATACTGTATGCAGGGGCCCTCCTCCAGCAGATTTCACCCCTGCTGAGGAGCTGGCCCTCAGCAAAAATGTGGGTCGGCCCTTGATGGTAGGGGTGGAAGGGGGGGTCTCTACAGACCCTGGTGGCAGCAGCTCCCACCACCTTTTTATACAGGGTGAGTCAGGGAGCTTTAAACAGCTGGGATGCTATAAAACACAATTATATATCTATTTTTGTGGGAGTAAGTAACATGTAGGCCTATTTTATTGTTCTGCAGATGATGGGGAGAACGTGGTGTTGCTGCCCCCCCAAATCACCCACTACCTCATACAGAGGTAACGTAACCTTTGGTACGTCGCCCTATATGGTCGCTGAATATGGATAACATAGACCATTTACATTTCTTCTTTTTTTCAGGAGTGCCTGGATGATGATGAGACGCTGTCTGTCTACTCAGAGAGCGCTCTGGCGGTACACTTTAGTATTTTGTTACCAATGATATGAAGTTTTCAATTTGCCCTAACACAGACAGAGAGGGTGTGGACACGTTGCTTTAATTGATTCTTTCTGATTTCTTGCACATGGTGGTGGTCTGCACATGGGACAAATAACTACTCTCTATTGAAAAGATATTTGCTTTGCTCAATTTGCAGGAAGAAGGAACTCTTCCTACCCCGCAGCCTGGGCCCTCCACATCTAGGCCCTCCACATCTAGGCCCTCATCACGACAAGTAATTAATTAAACTAAATTTAAAAGTATAGTCAACTTTAAAATTGTCAGCTTTCTTGCTGTGAGCCATGCTTGAATGTTAAAGCAACATATATGTGTTTCATGTGTTTCAGGCTGAAGCAGACTCTGTGAGGGCCCTTTACAAACGGACCCTAGTCCAAAATATACAAATAAATGCCCAAACGATACAACTAAATGCCCTACTCATCAAAAAATCGAAGTTGGAGGTGGACAAATTGGAAAGAGAAAGACAGGTAATTTTGTAACATTCGGTCATTTATTTTCAAGTCAAATGAAAGGTGCATAAGGTGACCTTTATCTTTTAGGATACCTAAAAGAGAAATCCCTTTTTTCTTTACAGAAAAAGTAAACCAAAATTATGTTTTTTTCCTCTTTTTCCTTCAGGAATGGCTGAGAAAATAAAAACCTACATAAATCACCCAAGGCCTCTCTCTCTGTGTGTTATTTTTTTTATTATGCAAATAATAATGCGATTGCATCTCTGACAGCCCTGCCAGTAGGGTAGTCCAGGGTGATGGGGTCTACCACATCAGGAGGTTGGGGGTTTGCAGGAGGGGCCCTCTCCTTCCTCATGGTGGCGATGTGCAGCACAACACAGGCCGTTATAATGCGGCATGCTCTTTCAGGGGCCACTCTGAGCCCCCGCAGGCAGGTGAATCTGGCCTTCAGTATCCCAAAGGTCATTTCGATCCTGACCCTGGTTTTGGCATGGGCCACATTGAAACTGGTTTGTGGCCCTTCACCAGGGTTAGGATACAGGGTCATTAGGAATGGCTGGCAGGCATAACCCCTGTCCCCGAGCAGCACTCCACTGAAGAGCCCTGAAGATAAAGGAATATTTCCATAATAAGTACCACAAAAGGCAGTTTAAGCACAAAACAATAAGAATGTACAGTTGCCATACCTTGCTCGAGTTTGTGACACAGTGAAGACTCTGAGAAGATCCTTGAGTCATGGACTGACCCAGGCCACTTTGCCTCAAGGCTGGTGATGACACACCTGGTCACATGTGGCCTGCAAAAGCATTTGGGGTTAACAAGCTTACTTCCACAATAAGAGCATCATAGTCAGTGTAGCATCAATGTTCATTTGCAATGAGTCCATGTTATAGATAAAGATAGTCCAAGTGTGAAACATTATACTGTGTGAATATGTAAATGTGTGAGTTCCTTTAATCACCCAGACTTCAATGTGTGTTCTAGTGAATGTGCAAGATTTACCTGAATGTTGAGGCTGTGGAAGGATTTGCGATTGACATAGTCGCCTTCATTATCTCCCAGGGACGCAGAGATCGGTATGTGTGTGCAGTCGATACAGCCAAGCACCCTGGGAAACCCTATGAAATAGTAGGCTGCATTTATTATACAACAGTGTACGTCATAGGAACTGTGAACAACATTCACTGTAAAGATATAATCACATATCAATACCTGCCATGCTGTAAAATCCCTCTTTGATCGTCTGCGTGGGACATGTGCCAGGAAACACAACAAAGGTCTGTGCGAGCCCTGTCAGAGCATGTGCGACCTTATGAATAGCACTGCAGACTGTATTCTTGCTGAGGTTCTCTGCATCACCCACAGCATAGAGAAAACTGCAAGGTGAATACAGCTGGTAAAAGATAAAGTGTTTGAATGCGTACATTAACAGGTTTATGAAATCACTGCCCCGTTTAAGACACGAGTGCATCTGACTTTAATTACATTTGACTCGAGTGTTTCGTCAACTTAATGTGTTGCTTAAAATAATACTTCTGCATACAGTATGTGACACTGTGAGTGTTGCACGGCCAGATACGGCTCAAGAAGCTGACTCAGATAAGGAAATATATGATACATTATGATGTGATGAACAGGGGCGGACTGGGACTAAAAATCAGCCCGGGAAACTCGACCGGCCGGCCCAACTCGGTACCGCTAGTCAATTGTCAACGATAATTGCCGGTAAATGAATTGTCCGACCGGCTCATTTCGGTACCGGCCCACCGGGAAAACTCCCGGTATTCCCAATGGCCAGTCCGCCCCTGGATATGAATGATAATGGGACACACATCGACGTCTGCACTCACAGTGTGGCGGACTGTAGGCTACGTAATGTTACTTTGATCCGGTTACTTATGTTGTGGCAGATATTTAAGTAAGCTTTCTTAACGGTAATGTTATAATAGTCAGATTGCTCTGAAGATGGGAGGTGATATTCTATTCATTTTCACGTTCACACAGTCAGTTGATTTTTGCCGGCCGTCTTTCCTGCAACGGCGGTCTAAACTGTATTTCCTTTCTCCTGTAATATGAATTGATCGCTTTAAACTCCGCACACTGAGCTCTGATTGGTCAGCAGGCGGTGCTTTCACTGAGCAGGTTAGGTTCCAGGATAAGAGATCAACTCAGTGAAAGCACCGCCTGCTGACCAATCAGAGCTCAGTGTGCGGAGTTTAAAGCGATCAAGTCATATTACAGGATAGAGGAAATACAGAAAAACTGCCGTTGCAGGAAAGACGGCCGGCAAAAATCAACTGACTGTGTGAATGTGAAAATTAATAGAATATCCCCTCCCATCTTCAGAGCAATCTGACTATTATAACATTAGCGTTAAGAAAGCTTACTTAAATATCTGCCACAACATAAGTAACCGGATCAGAGTAACATTACGTACAGTCCGCGGCACTGTGAGTGCAGACGTCGATGTGTCCCGTTGCAACACCCCATTATCATTCATATCACATCATATCGCATCATAATGTATCATAATTTCCTTATCTGAGTCAGCTTCTTGAGCCGTATCTGGCCGTGCAACACCTACAGTGTCACATACTGCAGAAGTATTATTTTAAGCAACACATTAAGTTGACGAAACACTTGAGTCAAATGTAATTAAAGTCAGATCCACTCGCCCTTATGAAACAAAAATATATTGTAATATATTGGAAAATATAATACAATATACTGGATCATACATTTCCATATATGGGAAAGTAGTCCTTATATTTTTAAATATATTGCAATATATGCATGGACCGTGTATGGCTATATATTGATACATATTAAAAAAAAATATATTGCAATGAAAACAAAAACTGCACTATACATATGTAATAGTTTTATTGAAACGCTCATTTATCTTTCATGATTTACACAAGTTTACATACAGTTGAACAGATATTCATAAACAATTATCTCACTTCGTTTTGTATAGTTACCTCCCTTTATGAACATATGTTTGATGGTATATATTTAAAAAGTACAAATACTCCATTGTCCATTGAATGATGGAAAATAATATACAGTTTATAAATATATACAGACACACACATATATATATATATATATATATATGCATATATGCATGCATATATACGCATATATATATATAGATGTGTCCAATGCAATGCACATATTTTTTCATTCTTGAATATACTATAATATACTTACTTCTTATTTATATTTGTTTAATATATATGTTTATTTTGAAATTGTAAATAACCCAGTACTGAGATATTCTTGGAAATTAAATGAGAATCCATAAAACGGCTGGCGTTTGGATTCTGGTTACGGCCGACCAGCTATTTGGAGTGGAATGCAGCCCATCCACGGCAGACAGCCCAAAACAGTAATCGAACGAGCCACTTCCGGCTGACAGTGGCTTGGATCATGTTATAACTCTCTAAAACGTGTTAACATTCTCATTGGACACATTACGTGCCAGTGATCATAAAACCAATCAATCTCACAGATTTCGGGGAGGCCCCGTTAATGTACGCATTCAAACACTTTTTCATTTACCAGCTGTATTCACCTTGCAGGTGCAACTATGTGGCTTTTATCCTGGATAAAGTGTTTAAGTTATGGATGTTTAAAGTTTAACTTCTTCATATGTCTAATATTATAGTTGACTTTTCATTCAGGAAGTTTGACGCTGCGCTGGTCAAATGTTGCTAGCCCCGCCCCTTTCGAGTGAACGCGCGCTCAGCCGGACAGAGAAACCCTGGCTTGAGTTACCGAGTTGATAACCAGCGTCGTAGGACCGTTTAGCGAGAGCGCGTTTGTTTTGGATTAGGTAAACCAGCTAACTCAAACATATCCAGGGTATGTTGAACTGGATTCGTAGTACAGGCCTCTGATAAGAATACTTTTCACAATGTTGTTATTAAAGATGGGGTATGTAATTTATTTCAGAAACACTTTTTGTTATATTCCATGGAATGCTCTTAACATCCCGATAGCAATGAATATATTAAATGCTTTAACAATAAATACATTAAAATATGTCATCTGTGGAAGCCGTAGTACTGTAAAAAGCACGACCAATCATTTTAGCCGGGCTGGCTAAAATAACTGGATGGCCTACCTGCCTGTCAGCCTTCCATCTCGTGCACAGACTTATCTCGTGCCCTCATTGGTCATGTGTGCGTTCGTGTGTGCTGGAGGAGGGGCTCTGTAAGGAAGTGGCAGATTTTTTCCGGTTGTGTATTTTCAAATTCTAGCGCACTCGAGCCGGTTTCTCCGAAATTACATACCCCACCTTTAAGTTGTGATGTGACACAGTATTTACTTAATAGATATAAATACATTAATACATTTATCACTTATACATGCAATTTGATGAATGACATGTTCACTTAAATGATTAATTAACGAGTAATTCATGTTTTCAACACAACAAAAAGAGGTATTAACCAACAACAACACACAACTAAATAAAGATTCAGTGTGCAGTGGGAAGGTTCAGCCCTGACCCAGCAGCAGCTCTGTCTGTGGTGCTGAAGCTCCTGTGATTGGTTACATCACTGACACCTGGTGGTTAACATGAGAACAGCAGGAACACACTGTGAGCGTAAACTACTCTCGTGAACAAGAACAAGAACAAGAACAAGAACAAGAACAAGAACATGAACAAGAACAAGAACAAGAACAAGAACATGAACAAGAACAAGAACAAGAACAAGAACATGAACAAGAACAAGAACATTAACAAGAACAAGAACATGAACAAGAACAAGAACATTAACAAGAACAAAAACATTAACAAGAACAAGAACATTAACAAGAACAAGAACATGTACAAGAACAAGAACATTAACAAGAACAAGAACAAAAACAAGACATACTTTTTTAAGGTCCGTTTCACTGTTTTTCTTATACATTCTTCTTAGTTGTAATACACACATGCAAACAGGACCTGTACACTGAAATGCACAGATGCACAAAAACATGCATTTCTTTCTTTTTTCTCTTTTTTAACACATTTATTCGTATTTGTATGAATGTCTCAACCCCTTTCATTGCATATGTCACTAAGCTCTGAAGTTGCTGCTCATCATTTTTAGCCATGGATGTGTACTTACCTACTTATTTTGTCTTTATTTTCATTCTAGTATAACTAATGTGCTTTTCTTCTATAAATTCACATGTTAGCTCATTCTGTATTATTGCATGTCTTTTTTTACCTGCTATGCAACTTTTGCTGTAACATATTTTAGCCTCCTGGAGAAGTTGAGGTTGTGTTCCCTTCTGACTGAGCTACTGCCACCCAAATTAAATGGACAATGACATTGTTGGTCAGAAATAAATAGTCCGCGAAAATTATTATTAACTACAGTAGGAATACGTCGCTGCACTTGACATATAAGTGCTAATTCCTGATGCAGGTGGAATATATTAGATCTTAATAGACTTACAAGTGGATAAGTGGAATAAAGTTAATATTTAATCATGCTTTTGTCACAACTTTCTCAATATAGTGCCCGTGTACTTCTGAACATGCACATTTGTCTCATTCATCAGGTTATGTCATTCATCTATTTATTTAGATGATGTCTTTATTATTAGATGTACTGTATATGTAGATCTATATAAAGTATACATTTTCTAATGGCCATGATACTTTACAAAACTTCTCGGTGTTCCTTTTTGTTCTCCGTAATTTATACTTCAGATTTGTTCACATTTTCATATTTCTTTTCAACAGTCATTAGATGATACAATACAAAGACCTATACGTAAGACAAGACATTGCGAGAAATACTCAAACGTATGTATTTCTTCAATGGTTTAAACCAGGGGTGTCAAACTCAATTTCATCGTGGGCCACATTAGCATTATGGTTGCACTCAAAGGGCCGGTTGTAACTATATAATTTATACATATATAAATATATAATATATATATATCAAATAATGTATATATTATATTATTGCCTCTGAATTGGATTATTATCGGATAGGGTAATAACTTCGTAATTAACTACGTCTGAAAGTAGAAGTCCAGGGCAAATAATTGCAAGTCTCTTCAGTGCGCATGTCACAAAACGAGATGCATTGTGGGACATGTAGTTTATGGGCAACGTACTTCTGTAAAGTGGCATGTAACCGTATAATAAACGTATTATATTCTTTCAGAGCTCTTGCGGGCCACATGAAATGAAGTCGCGGGCCGGATTTGGCCCCCGGGCCTTGAGTTTGACACCCCTGGTTTAAACCATGCTAAAACAAACTAAATAAATGTTTGTATTTTGTGAGGCATCCTGGTTTTTTCTTTTTCAAATCTAAACTGGGATTGATTCTTCTTTTGAAAACTGAACCAAGGGACCATTTCAATTTCCTATATCTGTATAAGCAATAGTAAAAGTTAAGCTGTGCAGATGTGTTTATTCATATTTGTGTGATATGCCTTCATGTTTGGTAGAGGCGCCTGGTGGTCACCACAGAGCTGTTGTATCTGCAGCAGAGTAAAAAGATGTCAGAAAATCATAAAACATTTACCTGAAAATGTACAAACAACACCTGTTTTTCGTTTCCTGTCTGAAGTGTTTTACCTGGAGAAGTGGGAGGAGTGATGAGCTGTCTGTCCTGATTGGGTGAGCAGAGCAGAGGAGGAGGAGGAGGAGGAGGTGGGGGATTCCTGACTGTGGCAGAGACGTTCCCGACCACAAAAACATAAAGACTCCTCAAGAGGAACCACAGGGATCTTTGTAAGAGCTGCATTCTGACACACACACACACACACACACACACACACACACACACACACACACACACACACACACACACACACACACACACACACACGTGAGTGGACAGTTAAAGGGGCCCTATTATGCTCAATTCCAGGATCATATATGTATGTAGTGTCTCCACTGTGACATGTCTCCATGCTTTAATGTTCAAAAAGCTCTTTATTCTTCTCATACTGCTTGTGCTGCAGCACCTCTTTTCACCCTCTGTCTGAAACCAGAGCCCAGTCTGCTCTGATTGGTTAGCTGGCCGGCTCTGTTGTGATAGGTCAACAGCTTAGAGATGTCCCGCCCTTTAGCCTATCACGTATGGGTTAGAGCTCTAACAAATAGAAGCAACAAGTGTTACATAGTGATGTCACTATGTTGCGGAAGTAAACAAAGGAGTCCAATGGAGGTGTTTCAAGAAACTCCCTCTGGAGGGAACACAGGGCCTTTACATGCACAAAAAACGATATAACACTACAGGAAAGGGAGAACCCCCCAAAAGTATAATAGGTCCTCTTTTACAGTGAGGTGTGTTTGATTCCCTCTCTGGTATCTACCTTCATCAAGAGCCTTTGGTTCTTCATGTCCTGTTTCCATGGCATCACATACAGTTTGGGGATCATGGGATGTTGGGCGGAGAACGTAGGGGTGTGGGAACAGGATCGTCTCAGAGTGACCGTGAGAAAAAAGTTTACTTAGCTGTGTTTAACAAATGTTTACACTTTATTAAACTGAAGTTGTATTAATTTAATTAATTAATTAAATGCAATACTTCAAAGATGCTGTTTGTCATGGAGCAAGCGAAATGCAGACTAATAAAATAAAAATAAAAGATTTAATGTGGAACTATGATAGGTATAAGTACTTGAAATGAATTATACAAAGGAAATAATTTATGAATAATTGTATATTGAATATTGTATAAGGACATATTGTAATGTTTTATCAGATGCGAGTGAATATTGTATTTTTGTATCTTATTATTACATTGTATTTAATGTGATTTCTCTTGACTAATTTATGTAGTACAATTTTGAGGTTTGATTTCACTTGGGTACTTAATTTCAGGCTTCTCTTGATTTCTACTCCCCTACATCTCAGAAAGAAATATTTGCATTTTTTCAACCACAGTAGTTACTTTGCAGATTAAGATTCATAATTCAGAAAATAATCAACTAATCCTTTTACGATATATTGTTGAAGGTGAGCTACTCAGCAGTATATAAAGTAATTTAAATGAGCATCACATTTACCAGCTTTAACATTAAAGGTGGGGTAGGTAAGTTTGAGAAACCGGCTCGAGATACACTTTTTGTTATATTCCATGGAAAGCTCTTAACATCCCGATAGCAATGAATATCTTAAGTGCTTTGACAAAAAATCCATAAAAAAATGTCATCTGTGGAAGCCGTAATACTGTAAAAAGCACGACCAATCATTTTAGCCGGCCCGGCTAAAATAACTGGATGGCCTACCTGCCTGTCAGCCTTCCATCTGTGCACAAACTTATCTCGTGCCCTCATTGGTCATGTGCGCGTTCGTGTGTGTTGGAGGAGGGGCTCTGTAAGGAAGAGGCAGATTTGTTCCGGCTGTGTATTTTCAAATTCTAGCGCACTCGAGCTGGTTTCTCCAAAATTACCTAACCCACCTTTAAGGTAATTATCACATTTATGCATCAATGATAACAAAAAAAGTCAGTAACACTTTATATTAAGGTACACAAATTAACCATCAACTAGTTGTTAATTAACATGCATATTAGCAGTATATTGGCTCTTTATTAGTCATTATAAAACACGTATTAATGCCTTATTCTGCATGACCATATTCTACATTAGTTGAGAGTTTTTCCTCAATAACCCTCTAATTAGTGCTTATTTATTGCAAGTAAGGAAGTTGTTGTACATGAGTTTTGGTCTTAATATGCTCTGCTCAATATGGGCCTAATAAGGCAGTAGTACCACAAGAATAGTACTTCTCCCATAATAACACTTAACAAATATGATCTATTCTTATGTAACAAGACATGAAACTATAAGTGTTAATTGTGTCTAAATAACTCAAAATTAGGTATTTCTATCTAAGAATATGTTCCCTATTTTAAAGTGAAGTCTTGTTCATAACCAATAAGCTATTAGTTTGACTCTAATTGACCTGAACAGGTTCCCTATTCTAAAGTTGCCTCCTCTTCACACTTTGTAAATACATTATAGCACACAACTACTGACATTAACCTCAACAGTACATGATCAAAGTAGGCACAAGTTGAAATATCTGTTTTATTAATGAACCACTAAAGAGAGGTTCAGACACATACCAAAACATATCAAGTTTCTCCAAGGCTGAGAACAGCAGCCTGTACTTTTTAATAAAAACAGATTTTTTTTAACAGATTTTATGTGTGATCATACTGTGTGACCTGCTTACATGTACTTACACAATAGGTGTACTGTTCTCTCTCTGTGTTGTCCTGTCTCAGTGTGAACATAGATTAAACAGCCAGCCAAACTCTTTTGAGAGCCAGGGAATGAGCAGCCATGCTCCTTTATTGACTTATTTGCAGTCCACTGATATTCAAACGGAGTGAAACTATACAAAAATAAGTCACTTAATGATCTCATACATGCAAGTGTAACATTCACAGATTAACACATAGGACCGCTAAGTGTAAACAAGGTAAATATAGCTAATGCTAGCTGTGCAATAAGCATTTGTACAAGCTATTATGGCTAATGCTAGCATGTATGCTAACGCTAACGCGAATGCTAGCGCGAATGCTAACGCATTTTCTTATTGTGTTTAAACCGTTTAAACATCTCCAAATGTCATCACATAAACACAATACATGTTACTAATCCTTACAGCGTAAGTGTAAGGCTTACACTTAAGTCATTGCTTTCTGACGGACTTGACCCTTTACTCTTCAGGTTGCAAAGGGTAAATTAGTGCTGCTAATATGCATGTTAATTACCAACTAGTTGATGGTTAATTTGTGTACGTTAATATAAAGTGTTACCAAAAAGTCTCAATGCTTCTTCCACTACTGATAAAAAAAACTGTGGAAACACTAAAAGATAACATAATAAATTGTTGCATTTCACTGCTGCGCTACAGTTTACTCACTCATGTTGGTGAGAGCTCCCTGCGGCACCGGCCATGTTTGTTGACAGTCAGGGTTGCCTTAGAAACCTCCCAGTGCATGGTGGGTAGAGGGTAGTATTTCAGGAAGGGACATGGTTATACAATTGTGAATTGTTGGTAAAGACTGACTGATTGATATATCTTTGGCAATATATATATATATATTTTTAAATGTGTGTTAACTTAACCCTAACCCAGTGTCGTTTTTACAAAAAAAGCTGCAAAATATCACTTCAATATGACAAAAAAACTAAAAACGTCTTCCATAAGGTAAATTAAATCCTTTACCTTCGGAAAGTTTTGTCATGGGTATGTTGACTTCAGGTTTTCTTTTTTTCACACCACCTAAACATTGCTACTTTATCCACATCTAATTGTATCACGTGGCTTTGCTGTATACTCTATTCTGATTGGTACATTTGGGCATTTCCAGAGGTTGCTAATTTTTGCTAACACACTGTTGTTAAGGAAAACAAATTGTTGCCAAGAGGATCAAGGTATGATGTGCAGTCATATCAATATGCAGAAAGAAGTCTGGTAAATTGACTGCAGCTGTGGACAACACACATTAGTTGTCTCCATGAGGAAACACAGTTTTTAAAATACTTTTTGAATATTATGTTGAATATTTGTGGAGAGCGCGACACTTTGGATTCATGATGGCTAAACTGTCCAGAGTTAAGAAGCTCAAGAGAAGGAAAGAGGTTGAAAGAGAGCGCGGGACGGAGAAATCAAAAGAATAATTCAGACAGGAAGTAAACACTAAAGGGAACAGCAGAAGAAGACAGACAGGAAGTACACTAGCTGTGTCCCAATTCAGCGACCGCATCCTCTTGAGGATGCATTCGTAGACCGCATACGTCACTTCCGCCGAACGAAGGCTGCCCAATAAAAAAAAGAAGACAAGACTCCTCCGAATGCGGCCCACAAATGCGGCCTACTTTTCCCAGATTTGGGGGATACATCTGATGTATCCTCCGCGGTCTAGCATATCCCAGGATGCAATGGGCGACGGTGACGAATGAGTTTTTTTTAAAGAAAATGGCTTCCAACGTACCGGCAATGGCTGAAGCTTCGGCAGGTGCTGGATTTGTTTTTAAATGTAAGTATAGGGTTTCAACTCACACAAATAGTAAACGACATGAAACAGTAAACCGATTTAACTTTTTTATTTAAAGATACGGGCGATTGGAGATGTCTTCTTTATATTACTGTGTAGTGATCACTCATTTACTCATGTACATAATTCACTCATGGAACTACAGGTGGGGGGGTATTGTTTCCGCACGGACATATGTGTTGCCGATTGTATTTATTGTGTGCCCTCCTGGCTTCTTCCTCTCTTCTTCCCGGGCTGCGACCCGACAACATGTCCGTTTCTGCTGCTCATTAAAGTTCCCTTTTGCACCTTCGATGCACCGCCTCCGACTCCTATCTCTCGGCACTACATTGGTGACCCTGACATAAGTCTCGCGAAGGATCCGAGACTGAACCGAACACGGCAAAAGATTTTTGGGGACGTCCGTGGCTGCATCGTGCGCACGGACTGAGGCTCGGTGCGCCCTCCGGAATGGCCGCGGACGACGCTCGCCGTTTCCACGGCTTTTCGGCACTGGGGGACAGCACGCCTTCCATGGAGACGATACACGACCATGCCTGGTTTATTCGGGACATGCGGCTGTATGTCCGGCTGCGCTCGCTAACACGGCTAACGGACAGCTAACGGCTAACGGACAGCTAACGACTAGCAGCTACCGGCCAGCAGCTACCGGCCAGCAGCTACCGGCTGACTGCTTCCATGTCGACATCCAACTGTTAGCCCTTTTTTTGTTTTGTTTTTGGTGCCTGAGAGGAGGTTCGACCATGTCTGGTCGGCCTCGTGTGGACCCTCTCGTTTTTTTCACCGCCTCGACGGTGGCTTCGGACGTCGCCCATGCCTTATTCGGCCCGTGGGTGGCGCGCTTCTGGACCCCGTCTCGCCTCGACTCCACGGTTTTGGACGTCGCCCATGCCTTCCTCGGCATGGGTGATGAAGGCAAGCGCGGTGGCGCGCTTCGGGACCCTGTCTGGCCTCTTCCTTCGCCTCGGCAGCAGCTTCGGACATCGCCCACGCCTTCATCGGCCCGTGGGTGGCGCACTCCCGGACCCTGTCTGGCCTCTCCTCTAACCGCGGCTCACGGTTTGCCTCGACGGCGGCTTCGGACGTCGCCCCGTCTGACCCCGTCTGACCCCGTCTGGCCTCTCCCCTGTCCACGGTTCCTTCCTCCCGGGGATGCTGCTCCTGCCCCCCGGGGATACCGCTCCATCTTTCCAGGGACTTCATGCCCGCTGCTGTGCCTTTGCCTGCGGCCGGGCAGCGCTCCTCCCTGCTGGGGACCACCGGGATATTCACGCCCGTCCCCACGTCGCAACACAGTGACCCTGCTTTCTGCGGCCCCCTTCCGACGGCCCGTTCCATGGCCCGGCCCTCGCCGGCAGCCCCGCCCTCCTCGGCCCCTGTGGTGCTTCCTCCCGGACGCGAGGATTGTGTCCATGGTTGAATTCTGGGGGGGCTTGTGTAGTGATCACTCATTTACTCATGTACATAATTCACTCATGGAACTACAGGTGGGGGGGTATTGTTTCCGCACGGACATATGTGTTGCCGATTGTATTTATTGTGTGCCCTCCTGGCTTCTTCCTCTCTTCTTCCCGGGCTGCGACCCGACAACATGTCCGTTTCTGCTGCTCATTAAAGTTCCCTTTTGCACCTTCGATGCACCGCCTCCGACTCCTATCTCTCGGCACTACAACATACATAAAATAATATGAAGTGAAAATATATCGACATGTTGTAAACCCTGTTTGGTTTTCATATTGTTGGGATTCATTATAAAGCTAATTTATTTATTTAACTGCTTTTGTTATACAAATCTTACTGCAACAATTTGTTTTGATAGGGAGCAAGGAGCAGACTGCTCAATTTATAAAAATGCGTGGGGAGAATGAATCCCTCTTCACCGGGCCAAATTCTCTGCGAGCATCGCTTGGAGGTAAGGCACAATATCCAGTTTGTATCGTTCTAATATCCTTATTTTATTAATCATCCCTCATTTCATACAGTCCATTCTAATTAGACAACTAGTATATGGGTCAATGCCTTATTTCTTTGTTGTATTTGTGTAGGGATGTCTCCATGCCACCATTAAAAAAAAAAAAAGGATTTCTTCCTAAGTGTGTGTCTCCTTGTGACATTGTTATTGTTTTATTCATAATACTAGATTTTTTACTATTCTCTCTGTGATTAGGACGGTTTCTTAGTCTTAAAAAAAAGATATAAAGTATGTGAGTTTTACAAGTTAATAAACACATTTGCTGACATTTGTTTATCTGCTGGTGTTTTTTTTTTAACTGCCATGACTGTTTTACTCACCCAGGGTCAGGAGAGGGAGTCGGTGGGAAACTCACTGCTGCAACTTGGCCATGGTTTGTCCAAATGGATGAGGTATTAGGACAGAGGTCCTCCATCTGCCCGCCTGTCCTAATATCCTCTATTCCAGAGGACACGCCACGGCCAAGTTCAGCAGTGGGGGACCAAGAGGAGGACGAGGACGAGGATCAGGTTGAGGCAGGGCCATCACGGCCTAAAAGGAAAAGAAAGGATGGGCTAATGGACCTCATCAGAGAGGACATGAAACAGCAGAGGGAGGCAGAGGAGAGGAGAGCCCAGGAGAGCAGGGAGAACCTTAATAGGCTTTTTTCTCTCCTAGAAAAATTAGCAGATAAATAAATAAAAATAAGTAATGAGCAATATGAAACGTATGATTTATTTTATGGAACAACATACAAATAAAACAACATTTAAACTATATACACATTCAGGCTGAGCAGGTAGTCCCAGGTGGTGCTGCTGGACCTGGATGGGCTGCCACAATTAGGACCCTGGTGTCCTCTGATGGTGGGTGGGGCTTCATTTGGGGTGGTCTCCAGAGTGTTGGGGATGCTTCTCTCCACTGTACATCGGATTGTCCATTAGGGCTAGGGTTCGCAGGGCGAAATCGACGGCTGAGTGTCACTAAGATGTTTTCAGCAGCAGATAAGAACAAAAGATGTATATAAATATTGCACAAGGTTATTTTATCACAGCTCTTCAATTGTTTTACATACCTTTTACACATAATCGTGGTCATCAATGTTCTCTTCTGGGGCCATGATGTCGCCGGCCCCAATGCAGATTGTGGAGGACGGCACATGCTGTTATGACCTGAAATTTTAAAATTGGCAGAAATATATAAATATATATATATATATGTTTACCTCCTCAAAAAAATAACTTATGTCAGATCTACAGTACTCTTCAGTATTATTAAAATGTCCTAATGAGTGATTACTTACTTGAGGAACAAAGGTGTGGTGCACCTCCAGCGCTTGCAGGAAGATGCTCCTGAAGATGCTCCTGAAGATGCTCCCGAAGACACGCTCGTTGATGGAGCGTGCCTTCGGTACGTGTCGATGAAGCGGCCCTGATGGTCACAAACAGCCTGCAGCAAAATTGAGCTGAACAGTTTCCTGTTTTTAAAGCAGTGACCATCAGGGCCGCTTGGTGGCACGATGCGGACATGGCAGCCGTCCATTGCTCCAGCAGCTTTTCTGAAGGCTCTGTGTCTGGCCAGCCCTGAGAACCCACGCGACACAGCCTCCAGGTCTTCTGCTGTCCTGGGGAGGTGGATGACCTGGTGGCGAATGGCCACCACCTCCTCAGTCACTCTGTGGACAATCCGATTTACAGTGGATCTAGGCATCCCAAAAACTCTGGAGACCACCCTGCATGATGCCCCACTTGCCAGCCAGAACAGGAACACCAGGGTCTCGATTGTGGCCCCCCAGCCGTGTCTCCTGTCCTGACCCAGGAGGTCCAGCAGTACTTTCAGGGACTCCCTGCTCAGCCTGAAATCAGGGCATGTGTCCTGGTCATTGAAAAACCTGTCCAGGACAGGGAGACTTAAGTTGATCCTGCAGTACAGGGGCCTTGGCTGGTAGAGGGAAAGGTTGAGTAAAAAAGGGTTAAGTAAGTGAAGAGCATATTTTTTTTCTGTGTTTATGTGTATAAATATATCTCTATCAAATCAAATCAAATCAAGTTTTATTTATATAGCACATTTAAAAGCGATTTTTGGTCGAACCAAAGTGCTGTACATGTAATAAAAACACATTACTACAATCACAATAAAAGACAATAATTTACAACAGAAATATAAAAAACAAAAACACAGGGAATAGTCAGGTGTCATCCTCCGCTCTGACTAGAAGGCCAGAGAGAAAAAGTGTGTTTTTAGAGAGGATTTAAAAACCCTATAGTGTCTGGGCCGACCTCACATGGAGGGGCAGAGTGTTCCAGAGCCTAGGGCCAGCTGCTGCGAAGGCTCGGTGCCCTCAGGTTTTAAGCCTGGTCTTGGGCACTATCAGCAGCAGCTGGTCAGCAGACCTTAAAGCTCTGGCTGGGGTGTAGCGCTGGAGGAGGTCGGCTATATAGGCCGGAGCCAGCCCATTTAGTGCTTTAAAAACTAATAAAAGGATTTTAAAATCAATTCGGAACTGAATTGGAAGCCAGTGTAGTGAGGCCAGAATTGGGGTGATGTGGTCACGCTTTTTGTGGCCAGTCAGAAGACTCTATCTCTATTGACATGTTTATATATATATTTATGTGTGTATATATCAATAAATATATATAGGCCTATATACACTCAAGCTATACTCAACCTGAAATTACATTTGTATCAGTATTATATGTTGATAACATTACTGTTAGCTAAAAATACAGTACATACATATATTCTGTGTTTGTGTATAAATATATCTCTATAGACATGTTTATATATATATATATATATATATATATATATATATACATATATATACATACACAAGCTATACTCAACCTGAGAAAATAACATTTTAAACATGTATTATAGGCTAATATTAACATTACTGTTAGCTAAAAATACAGTACATATATATTGTATACTATCCAGTGTTTCCCCTATATACATTCAGCAGCGGCGCAGCGCCACGCTTCTACGGGGGCGCCAGCCAGGTACCAGGTATTTTTTTTTGTATACATTAAAATAATAATACGTAGCGTTCGCGTCATCGCCATGGAGGAGCACACAGCCTCTGTGAGCGAGCGAGACAGAGAGAGAGAGAGCTAGAGAGAGCACACCTTTATCTATTTAATATAATTGTAAAAAATAAAGTAAGAAATCATTCCAATGTGTACTATAGGACAGTGAAAAAAACAGTTTAAAAGGGGAGTGATTAGTAAAATATGCATAAACAAAAAGAAAGAATGCTAACTAGGTAACATAAGATAAGAATAAACAAGTTTAAATGATTTGTTATTGGTTGTGATCATATTCTAAAGATGTTTGGATTATTGAAAAGTATACAGCTCCCTTTCATATGAGTGTTGAGAGCTGTATCCATAAATTCATTTTGTGCTCAGAGTGCACCAGATTGATGCATTTCACTTCAACATTTAAAAAAAACTCTTCCCGGGGGTGCATGCCCCCGGACCCCCCTAGAGGAGGTGAGGTCCACCCCCAAATAAAGCAGGTTAAAATAATTAAATTGCATACATTTTATTTTGATTGTTTGTTATGTGGATGTATAGTATTTGTGTTTGATTTAGCAAAATACACCTGTAGAGCCTCAAGAGCCTTTCTTGTGCTGGCAGACACATAGTGTAGAAACATATTGGCGGGGCGCACTTCGCACACACAAAAAAATTCCACGCGCTCCGCGCTCACTTTTGAAGTTTGAAAACAGTTTGAAAATATTTTGCCTAATGTCAGAAATTATTACCACCGGCACTTGTGACTGCAGCTGGTTGCTAGGCGACGGGGGCGGCAAAAGGTAGGGGCAGTAACTGCCGGTGACGTACCAGGAAATGCTCCGTAGACGTCTCATTTCGCAGGCTGGGTCCTCAGGAGGACGCAGCCTCTGAATTGGGACACAGCTAATAACAGGAACAACAGAAGAAGACAGACGGGAAGTACACACTAAAGGGAACAGCAGAAGAAGACAGATAGGAAGTAAACACTAAAGGGAACAGCAGAAGAAGACGGGAAGTACACACTAAAGGCAGGAAGACAGTATGGGCTCTGGCAGTGTTTAAAGACCGGTTAATGGACTTGCACTTGGACGGTTACAATTGTTTCTTGGCGGAAGCAGTACGATCATTTTTAAATCAATATTGTGACTCAAGACGCTGGTTTATTTAGTAGGCAGCCGTGTAATAAGCGGGATAATGTGCAGCGAGGAGGTCATTCATGAGAAAAGAACACCAACATGGTGATCAGGATCAATACATTATTCCTTACATGGGAGCTTTGAAAAAAATGGAAACCTAGAATGTATTGCTACGTTCATGTTGTTGCGACACAATGGGAAAGCTGACAACATGTAAGCCTACATTGGGTTGGTTTACAGGATTTCAAACACCAATATTGGAGATTTCAGAAAAAGTTTTCAAACTTCTGTTTCCCTGTTGTAATCCTGTCAAATGTTGGTGTTAACATTAGTTTCTCTAAAGGTTTATCCAGAAATGATTGAAAATACAAGCAGGCTGTGGTTAAGTAACTCCTGCATGACCTGCTTTAAATCAATGGAAGAAACTGTTAAATTAGTATATGAAACCCCGGTTGACAACATACATTTAAAGAGAATGTGACGCTTACAAAATAACTACTACAGGAGCAATAAAGAAAATAAAGAGCTTTATTCACCAAAAGAAAATAAATCACATCATTAAATCTGTGTTTAATTTCTATATTTACAGTACATCATAACAGTCATATGTGTAACAGTCTGTTGTGCGGAACTTAGCTAGAGAGTAAATAAATCAAAATGTATCATTGTTGCATGTCAAGTTTTTCGTTCGATGCACACGTACAGTTAAATTACTTATCTTTCACTGTCAGTGGTGAACAAAACAATAACAATTGTGGTGCATTATTGAGTCTATTTTTGGACCATTTTTGTAGCTAGAAGTCTGAAATTAGGTCTTTGGTACACAGAAATGTAAAAAAGATGTCGTGGAATTATGGACTGCGACTCTCACATGGAGCAATAGGAAATCCTACAAAGTGGGTTGAAGTACTTCATCCTGTATCCTCGTTGCAGTATAAATTAACTTTAACATGTTAGCACACATGCTACATTACATAGCTGTTTTTTTGGAACAACATACTCAATTTCAGCATTGTAAAAGTTCTGTTCTTCATTGATTCACAGTCAAATGTACTGAGACAAGATATGACCAAGCTATTGACTTGCCTTTTTTTTCAGTTTATACACAATCCCTGAATCTAAACAAGTGAAGCAAATGCTGAAGTGACCTATACCTGCATCTTTATAATGGCAACCTGGTGGCCTGTCCACAGGTTGCAAAAGAAGCCCAATTGTATAGAAGTCTATGAACAAATAACCCTACTTTTTACTTGATTTAGTACCTTAGTAAACATTTTAAACATGATTGTACAGTCTAAATCGCTGGTTTATATTCTTCTCCAACAAAGCAAGATGTTCATTAAGTTAATTATGGTCCCATTTTGAGTAAAAAGACACATTTGTGATTGACAGGTTGCTACCATGGTGTTGACCGGGTTGGGTTTTGTCCTTGTTTTGTCTTCAACCCTTTCAAAAAGTGCGTTTTTAATTCATCTAAATAATATTGAAATGTTTTGTTGACTTGGCTTGAGTGGGACAAATGTCTCATCTTTCTGCAGTGATGTAGTCGTGCACTCCTGGGCGTGTCAGTACGCTGTGACATGTGGGTGTGGTTACCAGTTAAACACACTCTCCAAATAAAATAAATTAAACAACTGAACTCTTTAACAGTATTTAAAGATGGCTCATGATTTTCAAGCCCTTTTGTGTCATTGCATTAATACATATCGGTTTGGGTCAGTTTATAACATCTAATAAACTACATATTTACAGAACTGTATGCAGCTCAAGCAGTCTACTGGTTTCAGAACATTCAGGCAGCTTCATCCAGCAATCTCTGCAGGTTCTTCTGCACCTGGAAGAACGGACATGTCTGTTATTTTGACTGCATGATACATGATATACTTGTGTTCTATTGCACAAGCATATAAGATCTGATGATAATAGACATTTTTATTGGTCGGTTTCTATAACTCCATATGTACATCTCCACAAACTCCTACAAACTGGCAGTAACAGGAACCAGTAAGCTCTGTAAAGAAAGCAAAAGCACATTCTCAAAGTGTTCTATTCCATTGATGCCATGTTGATAATGAAGTAAATCACTTAAAGGTCCCATGACATGGCCATTTCTACTGATCATAATTCCATTGTTGAGGTCTACTAGAATAGATTTACATTGTTCAATGTTCCAAACTGACATTGGTTTTCTCATACAGCATCTCTGTATATGTGTATTCACTGAATTTCACTCTCTGTCCTAAACGCCTTGTTGGAGCTCCTGCCCCCCCTCCCTGTGAGCCCAGTGCTCTGAGCTGACAGTGTGAGCTGGCTTACTGGTGTGGTTTCCTGCTTGCTGCGAGACAGCGAGACATCACCAATGGACGCGGGAAGGGGGGGGGGGGAGCTGAGGGGGCTGCAGCAGCCCCATCTGCGAGGCTCCACTATCATTCAATCTATGGTTACTTATTCTCTTGCTGATAAGCTAACTTGTGATTTACCTTCCTTGTTATTTGTCTTGACCCACTAAGGATTGTTTCAATTTCTATTAGACGTTATATTTACTTCTCATTGCCCCAAAGTCTCATGCATTTCCTGAACAGCTCTGTGGATTTCGCATCCATCCACCAGATGTCCTCAGAACTCCCTAGCAGCAGTTAACCTGAACCTGTACTTGTGCCTACTCTCTATTCATCTATATCTCTATCTATTCATTTATTCCTTTATTTCTTTTACGCCCCTCATTGATAAGTTTGATTTTGAATGTTGCCTCTAGTAAATTCCATTTCATCCTAACTGCTTGCCTTTTGTGAAATAATGTTAGTTCTCCTCCATCTATAAAGATAAACAACTTTAAATATCTACATTTCTAATCAATCAGGCTCTTGTTTCGTGTTTTGCTGCTGTTTGTTTTTAGGAGACGTGTGTTGGCCTGAAATGTTAATGTGCTCAGACACACACAGTGCAGACTGATGGATGAGGAACGAGCTCTTCTTACAGGTGACGTCCACACTTCTCTATATGAACAGATCAATGACTATAAATGTTTGATTAACGGCAAACAAGCATCCGGTTACACTTTGTCCAGAAGCCTTCCAGTTCTGCTTCTGACACAAAGCGTGTTGGTTTCACATGTTGATGAGCGGAAAACAACTTTTCCACTCTTTCCTTTGTAGTAATTAAAGGGGACCTATCATGCAAAATGCACTTTTGTACGTCTTTTATACATGAATATGTGTCCCCGGTGTTCCAGGGAACTCACCAAGTGTCAGAAAACACAACCCTCTCTATTTTCCTCCATACCCAAATCTCTAAAAAAGGGGCTGCAACGGATCTGATAAAAACTGATCCAGATTTGAACACTTTACAGATGTCAGTAAAGTGGCGCTACGGCTATTGGGCCAACTCTCCACCTATCAGGGGAATGTGGGGTTGGGCCACGGGCGGCCATTGCCGCTCGAAAGCGCTGGAGACGCTGTAGTACATATGCCAGGCCTGTAAGTGGCGCGTAGTCTGCCACAAAAGCAGCGAAGAAGACTTCCCGCCCATAGTTACCATGGTTACCCTTCAGTTTATTCTCCGCTGTGGCTTTTTTTCTCCCTCCCCGAGGCAAGCGTTTGCTCCCGCTGCAAACGCTTGCAGGGAGGGATTGCTCAATGCAATCCCTCCCCGTCGAGGCAAGCACTGTAATTCTCTCCGGTTAGTCCACCAGCAGATGACAAACACCCACCTCTCCGCCTCTTCCAAGGAACGAGGGGACCGTGCGGCAGAGTTTCAGTTTCAGTTACTTTCGCCGGTCAAGATGTCCGTTAAAGTTTAAATCTTCCGGACAAAATTTGAAAAGTGCCGGTCAAAGGTCTTCTTTGTTATTTATTGAGCTTTAAAACAAATGAATAACGACTCTATATAATAAAACACGGAGGACGGAGATCTCTTTTTCTCCCCCTCTTCTGACAGCCCAGCAGCTGATCAGAGCACGGCTCACCTCTCCTGCAGGGGGGCGTGGTCAGCAGAATCAGACCGGTAGACAGCAAACAGCAAATAGAGCGAAATGAGGCATGGCTAAAATGCATGATCTGTTTGGTATTTTGAAAACAGAAACGTATAAATATACCTTATATAGGTATGGCCCTACAATATATCATTTAAATATAGCATGATAGGTCCACTTTAAGTTTATGATTTTAAAGAAGGTACTCATGGGGAAAAGTTAAAGAAAGGATACTTTGGTTGCATCATCTTAAAACAAATCAGCAGGGGTGGTTATTCAGTGCATAAAATATCCTGAACTGACTATTTCGTCTGCTTTTTACATTGTATTTACCTAAAAAAAACAATACTTTTACATAAACTGATGATAAAATATAGAAACTTATGTTAACGCCACCCAAAGTGTCTGGACCCAAAATATAAATTCCAAGATATTTAATTCTTATATAGTCTTCTGAGTTTTTTTTTTAAACTGATCAAAAGGCTTTTTGTTCAAGACAAAGGCCTACTCCCAAAAACATCAAAATTCGCCCTAAGGCAACTGTTGATATTTAGAATTTTAAATTCACACGATAAATACGATTTTTAGGGATTAATAGAATCATTTAATAATCAATTTTAATGTAACCCTATGAGACACAGATAGACAGACCAACTGACCTTCTCCAGCTTCATCAGGTTAATGGACAGCAGTTCAGAAAAAAGCTCCGTGTTCACGTCATTCGCCCCCAGAAATCCATTTCTAGGGGGTAAAAACAAGAATGGTGGATATTAATTCTTAAACATGAATTGAAATGTTTGTGTTTCCATGCCCTATGTTTTATATTGTGGATTAGATAGCTGAAGATAGTAAGCTAGTTATTTCAGTGTCTTAGTAGCCTTGAATCTTGAACATCATTTCTCAGGGTCTGCCCTGACCTCATAACTTTGTCTCTCTATATAATGTAAATAGCGAGACCATTTTAAAGGTTACTTCAATATACTCGCCACATGTCTTCCTTTTGCGGCTTTCCCTGTGTGGAAAGCATCGACGCAGCATCAGAGTGTCACCCATGGCGTTTTAATACCATGAAATATGACACTGACAGCTACAGTCGCTTCACAGAGCATCTTTTTCAAAGTGGATTGATGAAAATAGCCCTTTTAATATCAAAGACGATCATAGTAATGCATAGTGGAGTTAATATCAGTTCACCATGGATTTAAGATGAAAGGACTAGCAACTATGTGTAGCCTAATATTTAGTTTTTTTTAGTTTGTCACGTTTTGTACAGAATTACATTATTTGAGTATAAAAATTATGTACTTTGTTACTTTCCAACACTGTCAGAGTATATAAAATACTCCAGTTGGCAAGACTGCTGTAACGTTTTGCAGCATGGCTTGAACTTGAACTGACTGCAACGGGAGTTCCTAACAGGGGGGGTCTCCGGAGCTGCAGTCCACTCAACCCGCAGGGAATTGTCTCCAATTAGGAAGTGAGGGAGAGGGACCATGAGGAGGGGAGGGGTAGATAGCTAAATCTTTGTGGTCTGATAAGCACAAATTGATCAAATTAAGCGGCTCATATCTTTCTTTTTCCCCAAGTAGACCTGATAATACTAGAGCGTTGTTTAGATGGGGATGACGTTCTCTTTAAACATCCATAACACAGTCGCGCGGAGCAGGGTCGATGTGAAAGTGGTTAAATACATACAGGGTTGGAAAAACAGTAGATGCCTGTGGGAAAGTCTTATCATAGCGTAACAAATTGGTCCCATATTTGCCAACTTAGGGAGACATACATTTACGGGATCTGCAAATACATAGGTTTTGACACTCCATAAGTCTGAACACATTTGAAGGTGAGGTGTTTCAACAAGTAGGAACATGTATACATATATACATTTCTCCAGCTCTTCTAGTTCAGTCTGTAGCTAAAGGTGACATTTTTTATGAACTCACTCCTGGTGGGGGAACTCGGAGAGGGAGCCGAGCGTAGTCATTCTCTGCTCTAATGAGACGACCTTAAAGGCCAGGTAACAGGAAGACAGGAACAGGACACACACTCTGGGAAACACAAACACACACACACACACACACACACACACACACACACACACACACACACACACACACACACACACACACACACACACACACACACACACACACACACACACACACACACACACACACACACACATAGGGATGAGGAGTGAGTTAACGTGTGAGTGAAAATGAATCAGAAAACAAAAACGTACTTATTTTATTTGAATAAAGCAATTCACATATTAACAAATACGTGAATATACAATTGAATAGAAAAAATACATGTATCTTAATTAATAATTTACTGATCAAATGGAAACATGTACCTCATCAATTAATTAAGATGAATGTAAGAATCATGGCAATAGAATGGTTATGACTGGCAGTGGACTCACAGTAACAGGTAGGCCAACAGCAGTGTGTTGAGAGAAACTGGTTTCAGAGTTCTGCTGTCAATCACCAGCTCTGAGCCCGGAACTGAAAGGAAAAATATGTTTGTTACTCTGAAATACATTTTGTTGTTATTTTGGTATGGGTGAAAAACGTAATTGGTTCTTTTATTGATTTGTGAAATACAGTAAGGAGAACAATCGGTTGTAATCGAACAACTTTTTGTCACAAGCGACATTTGAACCTCATTGAAAATGTCCATCCTATACAGTTTTTGTTGCACTCTTTTACTTATCTCCCTTGGGGTGTAGGTTGTCTAACCTCAACATTAACAACAACCGTCCCATAAGGAAGGACAATGTCAACCTTATCATGTTGAAATAGTTAACCATAAGCATAACAATTGTGTGTGATCAGGAAATATTGGACAGTTTGTGGCTACAGTGTGTTGGATAAAACAATATTTAGATCCAATTTGGATTATTTTAGAATGTGTTGAGTGCAGTTGTAGTATTACAGACTTGATAATACTACAGCAGGTTGTACTGATTAGGTGGTGCTGCCAGGGGGGGGGGGATAGCACAACCAGCTAATACAATTGCTGGCCCTTCGTTTGGAGTTGACAATGCATAACATGGGTTTAGATGGTGTTTTAAAATTGAGGAAAGCTTGTTCCCAATTTTCTTCCAATAAAAGCTGTATATTTGTGTTTTTAGGGAAAAGTACAACTACTAATAAGTAATCACATGTATTTATAGACACATAAGGCCTGTTGCGTAACTCAGAAATGAACCTTCCTGTTCTTGGTCTATGCACATCAGTGTCCCAACTCTTTCCATATCTTACCAATTGAAAGAATAAGTAATGCAATGCAATGTGGGAGTGCTGCAGCTTTGACAACTGTTGCGGTGTCACTGTTCTGTTTTGCATGAATTAGTTTAGGTAAAAGTAGTCCATCCAGCGTGATGCGCCTGGCTCACGCAACTTTCAAACTAGGTGATGTGTTGCCCACTTATTGCCTCAATTTGGATTGTTTGGAATAATAGCAGAACATTTATGAGCATGACTCACGCCATGTTGTTTCCTGAAATAGTAACTGCCTCAACTGGCAGCACGTTTTCTCAAGTTTTGACAAGTCAAGCAACCAGTTGACTGGAAAGTGCTCACAAATGAACTGTGAGTCTGTACATCAGATTATTGCTAACATTAACTACCAATGTTAATGTTACATAAATCCAGTTATGGATTTTGGTTTTGGTGTGCCAACCCTAGATGTTTACTGGCGCCAACTGGCCAACCCTATGAAAACTCTTTGTGGACGCCACTGCTGTGGGACAACAATCGTACCAGTGTGGTGTGGAGCATGCTGCGAGTTGTCTGGGATCTGCTTGTTCTGGTGCTGGCTCTTCACTTTGTGCTGATGGTCTGGATGTTCAGGTGGAGCTGCACTGTCTGTGCGCTTCAACACATCCAGAAACGGAGGAACAGGGAACCCTGCAAACATTTGAGAAACACGAAGCAGTGTGAATAGGAAGACTTTTCAATGGAAACCCGTTCATGTCAACATCCCAGGTTTTAGCTGATCTGTTTCCTGTTCTATTTTTTCTTTCCCTGTGTCATGTCTATTTTTACGTCTGTCATGGTAAGTGGAGCACGGCGGACTCAAACGCAGTAGACAGAGACACATCTAACAGAAACAACTTTTTTTAAAAGCCATGGTCTGGACAAGACAAGGCTTCCCGATGTACAACCAACAAGACTCGGACAAAGACTAAACAGAGAGCCAGGGTTGCGGTCAAATTGTCTTGTTTGTTTAGGTTGCTAACAGAATGAAAAGAGTTATAACTTTCAAAGTAGCAGCCATGATAATAGCTGTTGAAAGTCTCTAGTCTACATGATAAGAAATGCATTGTAATACCTCTTTTATTATCTGCTTTAGCATAGGATAAACTGAACCATCCTTGACGAAGGAAACGAGATTATGCTATCCCACAATTATTTGCGGTTGCAACATTTTGTGACTGTCAAACAAAGATAATGCGAGTAGCAAGTGTCCCTGAGTGTACTGTAACTGCAGTCCGATTCTCCTAGGACTGCGGTTGTCAATAAGTCCGGATGAATTCTCCTTCTCATCATTCTTTAACCCTCTGACATTTTGCACTAAAGTTCAAATGTCTAGATTCCTTTGACTATATCTACCATAGTCTAGGATTTATATGAAAGCAGAACAGTTGAGGGGATAAAGTGCAGGTGTTAGGTGGTTTCAGGACAGGAAAAACAACAGAAACAAGCAGGAGAAAACACAAGAAAAAGGAGTACAAACAGATATGACACAGGGAAAGGAAAAGTTAGACCAGGAATAAGATCCACCAAAAACTGGGTTCATGACAGAGTGCGTCCACGAGAAAGACTTTGTTACTGCTGGTAAAATAACTCCACGGCGTAATAAGACACGACGGCCTGGCCTTCTCTTTTCTCTCCTTGTTGTTTAATGGTGAAGCGTGTTCAGGTGTTACATTACATCCCTATATTGTTCATCTCTTCCCTTGAGCGTTTCTCAGGTGTAATGAACTCATATCTAAGCTATCCAGCATTAACTTCTCCACACAAACACTTAAATGGATAGAATCATATTTGTTCAACCGTTCTCAGTATGTCAGAGTACAGAATAATCAATCATCTAACCTCCAGCTGTCCACAGGTGTCCCACAAGGGTCAATTCTGGGTCCATTGTTATTTTCATTGTATATAAACGACTTACCATCGATATGTCCTGACACAAACATCCAAATGTATGCTGATGATACTGTAATTTATGTTCACGGAGGCAGTCTGAAACAAGTGGCTAATGAACTGACAAACAAGATGGTTCATGTAACCGCTTGGTTGGAGCAATGCTGTCTGCAACTAAATGTCAGTAAAACTGTATGTATGTTCTTCACCAAAACCAAGTCCTCCTGCGTTGAGCCAGATGTGTTTGTGTCCGGGGAGAGGCTACAGGTGGTCTCACAGTACAAATACCTGGGGGTCTTAATTGATTCAAGACTCCATTTTAAGGCTCAGGTGAAAAAGGTTTGCAACAGGGTCAAATTCAGTCTGTCAAATTTGAGGTTTCCAGAGACTGCATGTCAACAGAGGGGGCTCTGATGTACATGCACTCTATGGTTCTATCTCACATCACATACTGCTTAACAACTTGCTCACATGCCGGTATAACCACTCTTAAACCCCTGGAATCATTATACAAACAAACACTTAAAATAGTAGATAAGAAATCAGTTCATTCTCATCATTGCCCAATACTCACAAAATACAACTTGTTGAGCTGGGAAAATGTAATGAGATACGCAAATGCTTGCCTCAAAATAATACACGGCCTTACCTCACCTCCGCTCAGACATTTTATCACCATACGCACACCTGTAACTAGGTCAACAAGAGCTGCAACAAGAGGAGATTGCGTTGTTCCATTAAGGAAGAGTTCATTCAGCCAATCTTCTTTTTCTTTTAAAGCTGCACAACAGTGGAACTCAATCTCAGTAACGATTAGAGAACAAAACACCTGCAGTTTATTCAAATCTAACTTAGAAACATGGTTAGTGGAAAATCAGCTCTGTCAACACTGACACAATCTGCACTTTACAACGCTCTGTTTGTACATGTGCCTTGACCTGTTGCTATCTGTCTGCTTTGTGAATATGTATTTTTGTTTTGTTTTTATGTTTTTATGTTTTTATATATGCTTTTATCATAATATAAGCATCTATGTTGAATGTTGTTTTACTGATTGTATTTACCTGTCATTTGAAGTGACATTTTTTTTAGGATGACTTTCAACATCTGTCCAGGGACTGCAGATGAAAAATAGCCTGTTGGCTTAACGCATTTACAGGAATGTTAATCTGTCCCTGTCAAATAAATACAAATTAAATTAAATTAACAATCCGCGATGCCTACTGCAGCGATGAATGAAATAAAGAGGAGAGGAGGAAGTAAACAGTCCCTTCACAGAGGGATGCATTGAATCCCCACTGTATAGTTGTCATGTGAATGCAACCAGCTGAAATTCTAATGTATGACGTGTGTTTGCTAATTTAGTAAAGAGTTGGACTTTTAGTAGTAACAATATTGGATCTTTGAAAGTATGAGCTTATAATTTGTAGCTTTCTGCTGCACTGCTGCTGATTGGTCGGTTGGTGATACCTGCTTTCTTGTCGTAGTTGGGGGTCTGAGAGTCGGAGCTGCTGCTCTCCTCCATCTCCTGCCTCCTCTGTCTCACTGCTACGTCCAGATCACAGAACTCACCTGGAAAACTCTGCAGAAAACCACAGAAACACGGAAAATAAGTTGGTTAGTAGGAAAGTCACTTATTGAGAATCAGAAATCAAAATTACAGTACTCATGTTTGTCAGCAGAAAGAAAATGATGGATGTCAAATAGCAGAAGAAGAGAGGAAAAAACACACAAGACAAACACACTTGGATACCTTTTAGTCGGTTAAGCCACCCCAGAAAGATTTGGGATATTAATAGTGTCTCAAACTTTCCTGCCGTTCTCTCTCTGTATTTTAAGATACAATTCTCCATATATCATGGGTTATGTTAGCATTTTACACCTAAATCACTTTTGAGTCTTCACCTAATGTAAGTTGAATGAAATGGAGTCAAACAAATGAAAATAACATATGTATTGGTTGAACTACCACCTGGTATTATTTTCACCTTTGAATCAAAACATATATATTCCACAACTTCCTCCTTCATGTATTCATTCTCAGATTCACTGGGAAGAACATCGTAACGTAAAGGCACATTTACAGTATACATCATACATGTACAGTATATGTTGCCCGTTCAATAGAGTGCAACTAGATTTCTCATGTGGCTACTGCTGCTCTGGTGGGCTTGTGTCTGACCTACCAGAGGGAAGCGAGGCGACCGAGGTGACCTCTGACCTCTGAAGCTATTCTCAGCTGAGCAGGAGACGGGGCTGCTGCATGGACTCTTCTCCTGTACACAATTATTTTACAGTATTTATGTAATACACATGGTTTTAGGTTGATATCCAAATACATGAAGTGGTATTCCGTCTTTGATACTGACATAGAAAAAATAACACAAGGTGTAGGCTACTAGAACTACAATCAGCAATCTTTGTACTTGTTTTCAAACTGTAGTCCCAAAAATATGAAATGAAATGAATTTAACATTATGGGATACATTTCAGTTTTCAGGGAGTTAAAACCTCTGTCAATCTAAGTCAACCTGACTGTATTCCTCAATATTTTTAAATCGGCTGAGTGGTTCGTAACCAGCTGGAACTCTGTAAAAATATATATTTTTAAAACAAATACAAAACATTATCTTTAAAGACACAGAGACAAGCTGATTTGATTCTAATTGCAGGTATATTGGTATACTAAGTAATCACATGTATTTATAGACACATAAGGCCTGTTGCGTAACTCAGAAATGAACCTTCCTGTTCTTGGTCTATGCACATCAGTGTCCCAACTCTTTCCATATCTTACCAGTTGAAAGAATAAGTAATGCAATGCAATGTGGGAGTGATCTGATGTAAAATGTAACTTGTTTTATTTCAAAATCAATTAAACCTTGTTAAAAGTAATTTAATAGTATGTTATGCATGGCAACAAGTGACTAATGAGAAAGATACAGTCTAGCAGCATATGGGAATAAATGTCCTACCTCCAGATGATAACAAATGGACATCAAGAACTTGTAGGTGTTGTCTCTGGACAGGAAGGACACGAAGACGTACTGAAACAAAAAACAAAGTTTTAATGTGGAACAGATATATGAAGATTACATTGTTGTCATTCTAGATTTTAAAGGAATGGTTTCTGTGTGAGCAATAAAATGTCGCTGAGATTAAAGTTTGAGTTTCCTGCTCACCCTGTCGTTGGCGGTGCCGATCACCAGCGCGTTTGGCAGCAGGATGGCCGTCTTGGTCTTCTTGAAGCACGAGACGGACATCACTGGGATGGCGATCTGAAACAGACAAAAACAACATAATGTCCAAGATATCCCAAAAACAGACGTATCTGGGACTCAAAGAGGATTCCAGTAAATGTTGCGCCTCAGTAACTTCTTCTTTCTCATGTTTACTTATGGGTGGATTTTCAGGCAATGCAAAAGGGCCCAACCACCTAGACTACACAGGAGCAAGACACACAGACTTTATAGTGATTTAGCCTCTGTGGCAGCGGGGTGTGGTTAGGGCGCCGGCTGCTGGAGTGATGGGAGTGGCTCGGCCAGAGACCAGACAGCTGACCAGAATCAGGTAATCAGTCACTGAATAAAAGCATATGGTAACCTGGTTCTGGTCTCTCTTGCAGTAGGCTGGGTCCTGAGAGGAAGGACTGACTCGCACACCTCCAGAAATAGAGGATAAAGAGGAGGACTGGCTTCTGTGTTTTTTCTGTTGTTTGCCTAGTGCCTGCCTTTTGGGGAATACAACTGTTTTGTTTTGATCCCATCCCTCTCCTTCTGTCGTTTTTAAACCGAGTGTGAGCTCGAAACGCTCACAGCCTCCTTTTGTTGTTTTATGTCTTTTATATCTTAATGGTCACTTTCTATCTCTTTGTTGTTGTTTTATATCTCTTTGTTGTCATTTTGTGTCTTTTTATTGTTGTTTTATGTCTCCCTGCAGTCACTTTGTGCCTTTGTAATTGTTTTCCTCGATAGTCATTACCGGGTCTCTTTCTACCTGTTTTATGTCTAGTTGTTTTTTTTCCAGGTCCATCCGTTGATTTTGTCTATCTTTGTAGTTTGTAGTTGTTTTTCTGTCCCTGTCATTTTGTGTCTGTTTCCACCTGTTTTATGTCTAGTTGTGTATTTCTAAGCCGTTTGTGGTCATTTTATGTATTTTTGTAGTTGTTTATATTAATGATGTGCTTCTTTAATTGTTTGTTTTCTTTGTTGAGTCATTCTGTGTCTTTTGTAGTAATTATGATTCTATTTGTGTTTCCTGAGGCTTCCCCAGGTGAATATAAATAATTGATCAATTCAAACCTGCTACAGTTGGCACCTCACTATTCACTTCAAATAACTTCAACTTTATTATTCATTATTAAATAAGCATAGCACAGATCATCTGTAACACTGTCAAATATCTGTTTGGGATGCTGAAGTGGAAACAAGAGACGCAATTGTGAAAGACCTCTGGGATGGAAATACTCAGAACAGGACATGAAGGAAAAAGTACTTTGCAGGAACAGTAGGGTAGTTCTCGGTACCTTTGTGTCTTTGCCAAACAGCTTAGAGTGAAAGCAGATCCAATGGTCAGAGACAAACATCCGTCCCTGGTAGAGGATGTCTTTCTGCAGAGCACATGTGTAACCTGAAAAACAGGTAAACAGCATCAGCATACTGAGGGGAACGCTACGTTTTTAGTTCCTGTAATTTCTGTAAAAACAATATGAGGAAAAAGAAGTCGATGCATTAACCGTTACTTGATTACAATAGATACTGATCTGGATGTTAGTTCTGTATATCTGTTATGAGCATTTAAGAGTTTTTACATTTTTGAAAACAATATTGTACATTCAAATAGTTTTTGGTAACTGTATTATTCCTTTTGTCCGTACTGGCCTGACAAGAGATCACCTTACAAAAAAAATACCAGTAATCACTCAGTGACAGAATACACAATCAAGTTCAGTTGAAATCAGGTTGCCTACAAACAGGAAAGCGCATATGGCATACAAATCTCTTTTTGTGCTTCATCAGCGTTTCCTTGCAAAGGGACAGTAACACAAAGTGTGTACTTTAGTACCAAAACGACATTCTCTTTGGGAAGATATCCACGTCATTTGTTGCAGCATTATATTAACTTCAGCCTGATGTATTATTGAATTTCTCAAAGGACGAGCACTGGAGATTTTGTCCTATATCACACTAAAATAACTTGTGTCTCTTTGTGGCCAGTATTGATAGGATGAACAATTACAAATGCCAACGTGTTATTCAGTGTACATATACCTAGCTCAATGTTGTTAAAGAAGGCCTTTAAAATGCAAACCAATGCTTCGAAAGGACAGTGAGAAGGACGTGGCGAAATCTGGTATTGCAGGTTGCAGTAAGAAATGCTGTGGTATCTTTCCTTCACCACGCTGAGGCCATCCTAGCATTACACTACTTTAAAAGCCAATCAAGTCATGCTCATGTTGATTGTTCTGCCCTCCAGGCCGTTTATCTTGTGTTTTGTGTTGTTTAGCACCCCCTATGTTTAAACGTGGTACTGCACCGTAGACCAGTATTTAAAAGTCTATCAGGCCACATGTTCAGTTTTATGTGAGAGCCCAGCAGAGCCACATGGTGTTCACTATCCAGTGCAATCCTTTGATTTGGCTCATCGTACACATTGCTTGTGAGTAATTATTTGTTGTTTAAAACTATATCTTCTAGTTTTAAAGCTTATTTGAGTTGTTTGGATGTTTTAGCATGTCATCCGTTCTGTGTAACTAATTCAATGTATATGTCTGTTTTACTTTAGTTTTACTCCTTTGCTGTAACGGCATGTCCATTGAGTCCATGGTAAAGCTGGAGCTTAACGCTATATCCTGACTCTCGTATCCATTATTTGGGAGTTTGGCTGGCTGCCTACTTTTGATTAGAAACATCATCAGGAGGACAGTACAGTAAAAAAGCAAGTAATCAGATGGTACAGCATCTACGATTGCAACGGATTAAATCACACCACGTAAAAACTGCGTCATGTCAGCTAAAGAGAGTGATAAGAGGTCTGACGTCACGAGCAGCGCCCGCACATCTTCAACCTCAGCCAGTGCAGCAACAAAGGCCTGTGCTAAAGCAGAGGCAGCACGTCATTCGCAGACAGGGACGCTAAGCTGAAACTAGAGCTAGCTGAGAGAGGCCCAGACGGGTCTGGAAAAGGCGAGGCTGGAGGTTCAATTGGAATCTTTGGCTCTCCAGAGAGAGGCAGCTGCTGCCAATGCTCAGGCAGACGTATTGGAAGCAGCGGAAGAGCAGCATAAACTACCTCGCAGCAAAAGCAGTCAAATCTCCTTCAAAAGAGAGATGGAAGACCGCACAGGTGCATACGTACAACAACAGAATGAGCTACATATGACCCCATCTCACAAAGTTCCTGAACATCTCCCCATACAACGTGATGACAGCCTAGTTACATGGGGGACCGCATGAAGGGTTTCAAATCAAACCTTCTGCCCAGCAGGCCGTCAAATCTGAGCATTCCATGCCTTTCGACCCTACAGCCTCCAAACCATTTTCAGAATTCTGCCATCAGAATGAAGACCCTCCATATACAAAGCCACATATGCAAAATACGAACCCTTCAGCTCAACCCTATTTTCCTCAATATTACACTAAGTCAGCTGCCCCAGCAAAAAACCCTGATGTAACAGACTTTGTAAAGTACTTAGTACGTCGGGAGCTGGTGACCACAGGTCTCAACCAGTTCGATGACCAACCTGTAAGCTTTAGGGCATGGCAGTCTTCCTTCCTCAACGCTATCAGAGGCCTCAACCTTTCAGCCAGTGAGGAATTAGATCTTCTGACAAAATGGCTAGGGAAAGAATCGTCCCACCACGTCAAGAGAATCCGTCAAGTGCATGTTAACAATCCTGAGGCGGCACTGAGAAAAGCATGGGACAGATTAATGGAGTGTTATGCTGCACCAGAAGTAATTGAAAATGCTCTTTTCAAGAAATTGGACATGTTTCCTAAGATCTCCAGCAAAGACTATATAAAACTCAGAGAGCTTGGAGACCTTCTCATGGAGTTTCAGTCAGCAAAGGAGGATGGATATCTGCCTGGATTGGCCTTCCTGGACACTGCTCGCGGGATTGGTCCCATTGTAGAGAAACTTCCATATGCACTACAGGAGAAATGGATTTCCAAAGGCTCCAAGTTCAAGGAGGAACATCACTGCCTCTTTCCCCCGTTCTCCTTCTTTGTTGACGTTATCTGCCACGAAGCACGCACCAGGAACGACCCAAGCTTCGCTCTCTTCAGCAATAGCAACCCTCCTGCAAAAGATAAACCAGTTTATCAACCAGGGAAACTTCCAGTAACAGTCCACAAGACAGACATTTCCATCGACGTTGAACATGACAAAAACAACACTCCAGAGCAAGATGAGGATCCAGCAAAGAGCTGTCCTATCCATCACAAACCACATCCATTAAGGAAGTGCCGTGGATTCAGAGCAAAAACACTAGATGAAAGGAAAAGTTTTCTCCGTGAAAACAGGATTTGCTACAGGTGTTGTGCATCGACATTCCACATGGCCAGAGATTGTAAAGTTGCTTGGAAATGCACCGAGTGTGAAAGTGATCGGCATATCGCGGCCATGCATCCAGGTCCAGCACATCAGGCATCTATAGCTCCAACCCTAGCACCAGAGCAAAGCGAGGAGGGAAAAGAGCTTATGTGTGACCCTGCACCTTCTGTCACCTCAAAGTGCACAGCTATTTGTGGAGAAGGACAGCCTGCTATGTCCTGCTCTAAAATATGTCTGGTTTGTGTGTTTCCCCAAGGGCAACGAGACAAAGCAATAAACACTTACGCCATGCTAGACGACCAGAGCAACCGCTCTTTAGCAAGGCCAAAATTCTTTGAGCTGTTTAATGTCAAGAGTCACTCAACTCGATACTCACTAAGAACATGCACTGGAGTCATCGACATGTCTGGCAGATGTCAAGGAGGACTTACCCTCACCTTACCACCACTGATTGAGTGCAATCAAATTCCAACCAATAGGTCAGAGATACCAACCCCTAAAGCAGCTCTCTTCTACCCCCATCTGAAAGCCGTGGCAGGTCACATCCCGGAGTTGGATCCGGACGCCCAAATTCTCCTCTTGTTAGGGAGAGACATTATAAGAGTGCATAAAGTGAGAGAGCAGGTCAACGGACCTCACAGTGCACCCCTCGCTCAGCGGCTGGATTTGGGCTGGGTTGTGGTTGGGGAAGTGTGCCTCGGTAATGCCCACAAACCAAGCATCAACACCTCAAGGACGACCTTCCTACTTGACATCCTGCGACAGCTTCATAGACCTGAAGGAGAGAGTGTGCTACGGCGGGGAGCGACGAGATAGCCTCATCAGCACACTCAAAGCCAACATGGATAAAGTAACGGAGCATAACATGGGTCAACGCGTGTTCGAAACAACCGAAAACGACAACAAGCTCGCCTTATCCATCCAGGATGCTGCCTTTTTAAAGATCATGGACTCAGAGGTATACAGGGATGAGAAGAACAACTGGGTTGCTCCACTGCCGTTCAAGGTGCCACGTAGACGGCTCCCAAACAACCGCAGGCAAGCGCTCAATCGTCTTAACTCACTGATTCAAACCCTCAACAAGAAACCTGTGATGAAAGAACAGTTCATTGCCTTCATGGGAAAGGTTTTTTAGGATGACCACGCAGAACCAGCACCCCCTCTCATGGAAAATGAGGAGTGTTGGTACTTGCCAACCTTTGGCGTCTACCACCCTCAAAAATCCAACCAAATAAGGGTGGTGTTTGATTCCAGCGCACAGGAAGATGGCGTCTCCATCAACAATGTCCTGTTGACTGGCCCTGACCTCAATAATAGCCTATTGGGAGTCCTGATCCGATTTCGAAAGGAGTCAGTGGCAATAATGGCTGATATCCAAAAAATGTTCTATTGCTTTCTCGTCAGACAAGACCACCGCAACTTTTTGAAGTTCTTATGGTTCAGGAACAATGATCCAACGAAGGACATCGTCGAGTACCGGATGAAAGTTCATGTTTTTGGCAACAGTCCCTCGCCCAGCAGAGCCACATGGTGTTCACTATCCAGTGCAATCCTTTGATTTGGCTCATCGTACGCATTGCTTGTGAGTATTTATTTGTTGTTTAAAACTATATCTTCTAGTTGTAAAGCTTATTTGAGTTGTTTGGATGTTTTAGCATGTCATCCGTTCTGTGTAACTAATTCAATGTATATTTTAGTTTTACTCCTTTGCTGTAACGGCATGTCCATTGAGTCCATAGTAAAGCTGGAGCTTAACGCTATCCTGACTCTCGTGTCCATTATTTGGGAGTTTGGCTGGCTGCCTACTTTTGATTAGAAACATCATCAGGAGGACAGTACATTGATGATACCAGAGTTTTATAAGCATGTCTGAAAAATCCAATGGGGAAATCCCATTGCTTTTTGTCCAGGGAGCCCGTGCGATGCTAACTTCCAGGGTGGACTATATACATCATCACTGCACTTCTCTATTTTAGGCTAATGAAAAGAAAATTCTTAGTTTCAACTAATTATACTATAATGAAAACATAGTCATGAATGAAAACATAGTTATGAATATTTTTCTTTTAATAGAAACCACTAAATACTACTCATCATCACCTAATTAATAAAAAGCTAAGAGGTATCAGACTATCTAATCTCTCATCCAGTATTTAAGGTGGAGCGGAAAGTTGTGATCATTAATGACTTACTCTGTCTGAGCAGTTCCTCTTTGCTGATCTCCTTAAATATTTTATGGTACTGGCAATTGCTTTTCGAAAGCTGAAACACAACACACACACGCACACACACATTATGCATAATGCAGAGTGAAGCTTGAACATTGGAAAGCTGCACAATGTGAATATTGATTATATTTCAAAAGCTGCAATAAAGTAGATTTAGTTTGATATTTTGATTGATAATTTAAAAACACATTGAGAATAATTTTAAGAATAAACATAATATATGATTTAAAGTGATATTAATATCACTTTAAATAAGGTATGGTTGACAAAGATTCTGTTAAATTACAATAATAAATCCCACAGTAAGCAAAACAGCTAATCAGAAATGGTAGCTGACGTCCCCCAGCTGGATAAGATTGTTGCCGTGCTGTAATGTTCACAGCTGTTATAAAACACGGAGCGCTCACCTGGCTGTATTGAGACTTCTTCCTCTCGATCTTTGGGTCTGATTCTGTCTGGACCTGAGTCAGCAGAGAGTGGTCGAAGGTCTTTGATCTGACAGATCAGCACAGAAGGAGGAATTACATTGCATAATATTATATTACATTATATTGCACCTTACATGACTGTCCTTTTGTCTGAGGCCCTTTGTACTCTAATGCACTTATGACAGTATTTATAACAGGTCACCAAGGGAAATTACATAAAAATATCATATAAAATATCTTTATTCCATAACGCTCATTACATTTTCCAAGCTGCACGACCTGTGCAACACATTATATATTATATTTTATTATATTTTTTTAGATAGTATTCCTTAACCGTTTTCTACCCTCAGCACTATTTTATGTTCATATCTTAAATTCAAAATGTATATTATGTTGAAAAAATACATATTTGTAAGAGCATTTTAGAGGGGAAACGAGAACAAACTATTTCACTTCAAACGGCTCCTCTGTTGGATTTGTTGGGCAAATAAAAAGAAAGAAAGAATAAATGCCGGTCTAAACTGGAAATATTGAGCAGCCACGTGCAATTTTCTTTTTGACTTACTACAGTAACAGCTCCAGACTCAGGTTAGTTTTCCACTAAATGTGCTTCACCTGACTAATGCGTGTTTCCTCCTGCCTGACAGCTCCTGTTGCTCCGGGTCCACGGCCTGCAGAGGGTCGCCCACCATCTTCTCAAATCTCTGCCGCTCGTTTTCTACATCTGAACTACACACAGCAAGAAAACAACATTCAGACATCACGACAAAATGACCAGAGACACTTCATATAGCAGCATCAGGCAGGTGCTGTACATGGAAGATTAGAGAGGAATGAATACTGTACTCGGCAACAATGGTTTAATATGAATTCCCTTTAACTTCACTTCATCAGAATCAGAGTACTTTATTTATGCCAGGGTAAATGGGTTTCAGGATTGTTACCCTTAATTAAGAATTATCTAAATAAAACAGAAACAAATATTTTAAAGTGAGAAAATTAAACAAAGATATTTATATTAACATGAGAAGTTGAAATCAAATGTCCAATAAAAGATAAATTTTTTTTTTTTAAATGTATAATATATATAATGATCACGAGAAGTTAAAGGTAGGGTAGGTAAGTTTGAGAACCGGCTCGAGATCGCTAGAATTTGAAAATACACAACCGGAGAAAATCTGCCACTTCCTTATAGAGCCCCTCCTCCAACACACACCAACGCGCACATGACCAATGAGGGCACGAGATAAGTGTGTGCACAGATGGAAGGCTGACAGGCAGGTCGGCCATCCAGTTATTTTAGCCAGGCCAGCTAAAATGATTGGTCGTGCTTTTTACAGTACTACGGCTTCCACAGATGATATTTTTTTATGGATTTTTTGTCAAAGCACTTAAGATATTCATTGCTATCGGGATGTTAAGAGCATTCCATGGAATATAACAAAAAGTGTATCTCGAGCCGGTTTCTCAAACTTACCTACCCTACCTTTAAAGTAAGAATGTACAATAAAAAATAAATTAATAATAATTTATATAACATAAAAAGCGTATGTAAAATGCCTATTAAAACAAAAATAAAAATATGAAGTTAAAGGAAGAATGTGCAAATTGTTTATGTAGGAGCCATTTTATGGGTGTTGTTGGTGTCTCAGTTTACTTTATTTATATTTATAGTGCAATACTATTTTGAACACTTGGTGGCAGGGTTTAGCTGCACCGGGTGTATAAAAGGGGTCACAGGTGACAGGAAAGGACGAGGACACAGGAGGAAGAGCACCCCGATTCCACCAACCTGGCAGATGCTCATACCACAACTATTGACTGTAATTAAACCTTGTTATGTAAACGCTAAATAAAACATCATTCTAAACTGCAGCAAAAGACCGGAAAGTAATCTGTTTGTGTCTGCGTCTGGATCACTCAACCCTCCTGTGAAGTAATGGCAATAAAAGAATAGGACATTGGAACAGTTAAAATTGCCATTACAGTTTAAAATGGTTGAGAGCAAAGTTGTAGTGCCAGTTTATTGACATATTAGACACACTCTAATTCTAAAGGACTCCGTTGAATGTAAACTGAACAGCCAAGTTTGACATTATGGTATTTCAGTTTTGTTTCTGATATTTAAATTCAAAACACTTTTATAGAAATATCTGTGTGAGAGATCAACTGCACCTCACACTGCATATAAATAACTTCACACACACACATGAGCAACTGTTAAGTATTATAGATATAAAGGGCTTGATTAGGGTCTGAGTGACACTGATCTTTTGAGCCTGATGCTAAAGCAGATATTATAAGGACAACCCACAATAATTCACATTTCTGTAAATGTGCCAGTTTGCTCATTTTCAGCGACAAAAGCAGAAATAAAACAGTCTCAAGCTAGGGCAAAGGAAACAGCCAAACATTAGAACCACCATAATAGAGCCACAATATCCAATAATCAGTTTATGAAGTGCAAGAAACATGAAGCAACAATAGAGAGACAAGCAAAACTGACAAAAACCATTGAACTATCTATAGTGGCCCTTGCAAACGCGCTACAACGGCCCAAAAAAAATGACATTCGGAGAAACTTGCTGCACTTTCAAAAACATTGCAAATTGTAAACATTCACTAACTTCACAAAACATGCACAGCGTTTACCAGAAGCACTGTATAAACGAAACACTGCTAAAAGGGATGCACACAGCTGGGACCGGAGCGCTTATTGACTTTGGGGAATATAAGGTTGGCCAGCTGAAACCTAAAATGTAGGTTTTATTGGCTTATTTTGACAATGTGATCGCATGATTCCTTCTGATATTATTGCAGATCGGCTGTAAGCTAGCTAGCTAATGAAGCTAACCTAGTCATTTCAAACATACTGACAAAACACTGACAATTATGCAACAGGCTAACTCTGCCAACCAGTGGCCTAACAAGGTTGTGATTGGCCCCGGTGCAAATATTGTTTTGCGCCCCCCCCCCCCATCGCCCCAAACATAAGCACACGCTGATGCGCTCACACACACACGGACACACACAACCACTCAGAAGCGCCACATGTAGGCTATCAACAACAGCCTGCCCTGGCCTCGGACCACCACAGCCTGACAACGGCACAGCAAACTAATCACACAACCACTTTACAGAATTTCGAGGACGATGTATGACCAAAAAAAAAAAACTGTCTAATTTAGCCGTTACATCTCCTTGTTCTCTCTTGTCCTTTCTCTTTTGAGCGCCGCTCTTGTGCTTTGGTTTGCTGTACATTATAAATGCAAGCTATTCAATTTTTTATAATGCTGCCGAACTTGCTGCTGCTAGCTACAGTACCTATAACCTTTGAGGTTGATTAAACGGTTCGCTCGTCACGCAAGGTATCACATGACATGAAAGGGAGCAAGGTCATTGGACAGACAAATTACAAATTAATTAAGGTTGCTTGGTTACTTTGAAGACTGCGTGAACCGGTCAATGCCATTGGGGCCCCCCCCCCAAAAAAAGATATATATTAAAAAATAAATATATGGGCCCCTGGCCGGCTCTGGGCCCCGGTGCGTTGCACCGGCTGCACCGTCAATAGTTACGCCACTGCTGCCAACAGTGACAGTGGGCCAACTTTATAATCCCCGAACATCAACAAGCACTCTGGTCCCAGCTGTGTGCATCACTTTTCGGTTGTGTTGCATTATTTATTTACAGCATTTAGTTTATGCAGTATTTTTAGTAAATCTGTGAAGTTGGTAAAGATGTTTCTTCATTTGCATGTGTTTTGGCACATTTGTGTTTTTATATTTATATCCGTTTTGAAAGAACAGCGTGTTTCTCCTAATGACAATTTATTGAGCCGTTGTTGCGCGTTTTAACATTTCCACCACCGTAGAGAACAGCAATAAGCACGAAGAAAGAAAAAAAGATGACTATCATAATGTTGAACTCCATAAATAGTAAACTCATGCACCTGAACCCATAAACCATGCCTTTCAGAGATGTAAGACTATAAGATGATTTAAAAGAATGCTGACAATAATTCATTAACTGTTTTATTCATTAATTCTAAAGAATGTGTTGATTGTAATAGTTAACTAAATCAACCTCTAATGAACAAACTATTTAATGGAGAGTCTGTATCTTAATGACCTAAAACATATCTGGACTTTGACGTGACTGGTTTCTGTTACTTATCAGACTGCAAACAGTGATACAGATGTATATTATATTTCATGAGGTAATGTATTGGCCTGTATAGTGGATATTCTATCATGCTGTGCAGTTGCAACTATCTGTTTTCATTATTGAAAAAAATAACTAAGTTGGTTCGACACCGGCCGTGGAACTATGAGGCAATGTCCCCCCCCCTTTCAACACTATCAATCAATGAAGGCACTCTCTGGCACAAACAAATACAAATAAAGCCCACAATTCACTAATAACCCATTAACAGTGATATCATTATATAAAAGTAGCAGATTTACTAATCTACAACCAACAAATATATGATTTTGTTTCCTGTTTAGCAACCATTGGCTGACTTTAGTTTCTCATAGAGGTATACTGCTAACTAGCCCTAATGCCAGCAGGCAAACACTACTACTCATATTACAATTGTTTATTCCTACAAGGAACTTACACAAGTCACAAACTTACTGATAATCTCGGTCCTCGGTCTTTGCATTTCTTCTGTTATACTTCCTGGCGTCTTCCTGCAGCTTCACACACTGTTCTGATATCATGCCCAACAGTTTTTTAGCCAACCAAACACCTGTCTGTCCTGCAGGACGTCCTGTCTGTCTGTCTGTCTGTCTGTCTGTCTGTCTGTCTGTCTGTCTGTCTGTCTGTCTGTCTGTCTGTCTGTCTGTCTGTCTGTCTGTCTGTCTGTCTGTCTGTCTGTCTGTGAACTGACCCTGCAGCCTGATCCTCTGCTCCCTCACCTGCATGTGGGAGTGTCTGCTGAGCCCCCTAGTCTCATATGTCACAGCCAATCAGAGGGCAGTACAGTGTGTGTGTGTTTGTGTGTGTGTGTGTGTGAGCCTTCAAACCTTTGATCAGTGACATTTTACCCAGCTTTTTTGGAGAATTAAGGTTTATTAAGGTATTTTCTCTACATTGATAAGACTTTACTTATACATTTCATTATTTTATTTTATATTCAGCTAAAATCTTGGCAGATGCATAAGTTGAGATATTTGGTGTCACCGTGGGAACACAGTGATTTCCCATGCGTCTCTCTCTGTTTTAGATTACACAGGAACAAACTTTCTTCCCTTTTTTACTATTTTTTACATTTCATGGCTGCACAAATAGGAAGAAATGTGGATGTAACCTTTTATAATTGACTAAATGCTGAGTTTATAGAGAAATGCAGGACAGTAGTGACAAGTAGATAAAACACCTGTTGCATCACCTTACAATGACTGCCGTGTTGTGAATAATGTTTTCTTTACATAGAGTGTGTAACTCTAGGCTTGTGTAACAGGGAGAGAGTCACCAGACTCTTGCTAACTTCAGATATGATATTTTTGGAGATATACTGTCTAGGACTTACTTTTGTTTGTTGGTCATTTCTGGTAAATTCAAACTAAATTGAGTGTCAGTGGTCTAAAGAGACACAATATTTATTTTTTCATTTTTTATTTTTTACAAAGAGCTGGTTTACAAGACGGGGCTTCACAACTGTTGATGTCTATTTAACTTTGGTCAAATTAACAAACATCTGTTGAAAAGCAGTGACCCTGGGGGCCCTTGGTAGGTTTTGACCAGTTGGTAATCCAATTTTGGGACACATTCCCTTTCTTGCTATGCACAACAACATTTTGTTAATCATTTGTTAATATTTATCCAGGCATGATTCCTTAACTCATGACCATTTCTAATGCTTTCAGCAAAACGTCTTGATTAAAAGGACCAAAGAAATAGCTACACGTCATCAATTATCTCCTGTGTGTGAGCCATGTATGATCTCCTTATTCACTCAGGAGCTACAAATATACTTAAAAACATCAACATAATGTGTTTGTGTGAGTGTGTGTATGTGTGCATACTGACATCAACTGAGGGTCACTGAGCCACAACGACAGTACACAAACATGTTTGACATTAAGCTGGCTACACACCAACCCGATTTTGGGAGTCAGAGGCCGTCAGAGGCAGTCGGGCATTCGCGGCGCCCTACTCAGGTTGGTGTGTCCCGCACCGTCGTCTCTTTACGGCACCTTTTCACACCTCCCGCGGGAGGTCAGAGAAAGTCGGCCCAAGCAATCACTCTGATTGGCTGTTCACACTACCGCTGCCTGCTGGTAAGGACAGTTATTGCCACTCGTCGACTGAAGTATTTGCGGTGTGTTCGTAGGCGGGCGGCGTAGCGGGCGGCGTAGCGGGCGGCGTAGCCGACGCAGGCGACGAAGCTGACGTAAAAGTCGGGACGCCTTCGGTATGCGTTCTTTGGTCTCAGGTGGGTGTGTAGCGGCCTTTAAGTTTATCTATCAGTGTTTGCATGTCTCCCTGTCATTTTAAGATATACAGATAAACAAATTACAATAATAAAAAAATTATTACGCACACATGATCTTATGCATGGATGAAAAATACACAACTAATATTGTATACTTGAGAACCCTCTTTAACAGAATACATTTCCCGGCCTGAACAATAACTAAAGCCTAGCTTAGAATCGTCTGGAGGCCAATTATTACAGTGGCCAAACCGTGCAAACGTGCTAAAGCGGCCCAAAACTTAATTAAGAGAAATGTGCTGCACTTTCAAAATTGATGTCAATTTAAAAACATAAATGTGCCAAAACACATGCAAATTATAAATATCTTCACCAACTGCACAACAGTTGGCGGGATTTAGAAAACATTCACCAACTTAGCGAAACATGTGCAGTGTTACTAAAAGTGCTGCATAAAGCAAGCGCTGAAAACACAAAAGGATGCAAATAAAAAAAGGCTGCAAGAAGATCAAAACTAAATGGAAATGGGGACACCAAAAAGTGATGCACACAGCTGGGACCGGAGTTTTTGTTGACGTTCGGGGGTTAGAGTTAGGCAACTATCACTCCTAAAGTGTTCGTTTTATTGTCTTATTTTAACAATGCGATCGCATGATTCCTTCTGATATTTTTTCAGATCTGCTGTAAGCTAACTAGCTAATAGTTAACCTACTGTAGTCATTTCTAAACTATACTGACAAAACACTAACAATCATGAAGCAGACTAACTCTGCCTACAGTGACAGTTGGTCAACTTAATCCCCGAACGTCAACAAGCGCTCTGGTCCCAGCTGTGTGCAGCTGTTTTGTGTTCCTGTTGTGTTCGAGCTTCTTGCAGCGCTTTTTTATTTGCAGTGTTTTGTATTTGCAGTGTTTCTGAAAGTGCAGCTTGTTCTCCAAATCTAAGTGTTTTGAGCCAATGTAACACTTCCATACCTCACTTTGTAAATGATGTGTGAATCAACAGTTGGTGGTTTTGATGGTGATTTTTATTCTGGAATCATTGTTTGAACACCTAATGTGTGGAGCTTTCAGAAGTATTTTCGTCTCAATTCGGTTTTAGAGTTTTGGTACTTTCAAACAGAGACAATTGGTGGGTAAGGTACTGAAATAATAATAATAATAAACTTACACAGAAATAAAATGGTTATAAGTCCTGCATTCAAAATCGAACTTATGCAGTTAAGTATCAGCATTAAAGTATACTCAAAATACCAAAAGTAAAATCATGGGGAATGGTGTTTGGATTATTAATAATAATACATGTTATTTATATAGCACTTTTCCTGGTGCTCAAAGTGCTTAAAATTGATGCATTAACGTGTTCATCATCGTGTCGCGGCTGGCAGAGGAGGAACTCTTTGAACTACTTTACGTACCGTGCTGCTTGTAAACTTTCCCCCACAAGACAATAAAGACTTATCTTATCTTTCCCTATAATAATATTACATCATCATTATGCTTAGGCTCTGCTGCTGACCCAGTGTCTCAGCGCTCTCTATTTGTTGATTCTTTTTTGCACTAATAATCTGAATCTGAAGGGTAACTGACGTTATCACATAAATACAATGAAAAACAAATGATATTTTGCATCTGATATGTAATGGTGCAGAGGTTTAAGGTATAGCAGAACATGTGATTACTCAAGAACATTAAAGGGGCCCTATTTTGCTCATTTTCAGGTTTCATATTTGTATGTTGTGCCTCTACTGTGACATGTTGACATGCTTTAATGTTCAAAAAGGTCTTTATTTAAAAAAACGTTATTTACCCTACACATAATTCCAACTTTCACCTTTAGACTAAGCTGAGCATACAAACAACCCTTAGAAAAAGAGTACTAGATAAAAGTGCCCGGCCAGATTTGTATCAGATGTTTGTTTTGTCGTTGGGTCAATTTCTCTACAGACTGACAAACTGGTACCCAACATGCTGCACTTTGGAATACAGTGTTGAGTTGTTTTCAAATTCTGAGTTGTATTATTTTCCACTTTGCTGAATCATCATTCTTTCATTTTTTTCTAATTTCCTTCATTCTATTTTTTATGATTGGATGAGTATAATATTTGTACACAATAATTAGTTGTCATTAGTTTTCTGTGTTTCAATTATTTATTAATTTGATTACTTTTAATCTAAGCTCCAAATTCTAAGAAGATTTATTGGATCTCCTATGTTCTGCTCTATTAAGGTTTGCATTTTGTGTTTATTTAAGTAAGGGGGACGGGTGTTATTTTTTCAATAATGTCCGCCTCATTGCACAACATACCTTACTTAACAATGACAATTGACCAATCAATATTGAGTATTCAACTAAGCCGTGTAATAATGTACAACAAATACGATTGAATGCATTACCAAGCCAGTGCTGGATAATTGAATTCCAACTCCTTTGGAAATAAGGTTGAGGGAAAATAATTCACTTTAGCTGCTTGTGTTGACTCGTATTTAGATTGAGTGACTTGAATCAGTCTCCTGCATGCTGGGTAATCAGAGACCTTTGAAACTCAAACACAAGCTGTACCAACTGCAGCTCAGGGCTTGCTGACAAAAACATGGACATGTTTGTCTAACAGGATATTTGCTGACACTGCTGTTTTAACGTTTCTTTAAAATTATTTCTCGCTGATGCTGTAAACGGAAATGCTTTATTTTAGACAATATTGCAGCGTAGACAAAAACAACATTTGTTTAGCTATAACAAAAGAGATCTCCACTGATTTCACCTATCACAGTCAGTGTTTACTAGCGTTAAAGAGTAATACTGCATGTGTGAAAAAAGTTTTATAAAGTGATGTTTGTGATGTTTAATACATGTCCTCAAGTAATTTCCCTTGAGAAAGTGTCTGTTGTAAAGGAAGACGTTTGAAAATGCAACAAAACTGGAGGTATGGTTCTTTAAAAGAAAAATCGAGACTCAGCTGGCCATTCATTTCTACTGCATACTAGAGGCTCCAAGCTACATTAGCCCCTGCTAGCATTACACACCTAAATGGGCTGTTGATGTTCAAGTAAGGTGGACGCCAGGTTAAGGCAAGAAGAAGGTTTTCAAGTATTTAAAGTTAAAAAAGAACACAAAATTCAACACTCATTCAAAAAACATCTGCTGTAAGAAATACAATGTCCAGTCCTTCATTGTGAGACCAATTCAAATGTAACTTGCTGTTTGAAGTAACTGGTATGGATGAAAAGGAAACAGATCCACCTACAGGTTTTATAGACACTAAAAATGAATGTTATCTTACCGAGGATGCCCAGTGGATTTGGATGAAGAGTGGGAAGATGTTGGCATTGTGCTCTTCCTTTTAAATCAGAAAGAATCGTACACTGCAGTTCTCCATTGCAGAA